TAAGGTAAGCAATCCCGAAACAGGTGGACTCGTTGTCCAAACCTCCGAAGAGCTCGATTAAATTTGCTTCCTTTTTACCAGCTGTTCCATGCATCAACTAGAACAGGTTGGGGATGAAAAACAAGCTGGTAATCTCACCCCCCTCCCCCATTTGCCCTCCCACCAACAAACGTGGAAGTGCACAGGCCCCTTTCGCCCAATTACTTTGTTTTTGGAAAGGGTCTTCGCGTACTCTCATGTTTGTTGGTGTGTCAAGGGATTGAGGGGTGGGGGAAAAGGGCAGGCAAAACAAAAAATCCCGCACACTTGGCGACGTCAATAGGTAGTCGCATATCTAAGATACTTAGCTAGCTAATGCATACCCCGAATTTATAAACCCCCCCCCCTCCCCCCCCCCTCAAGGTCACAAGGTCAGGTCTGTCATTTTTGTGAGCCCCCCCCCAATAATGAGAAGGGGAACCTTGTGGGAAGGTCAGGTCAGGGAACCTTGTGAGAAGGTCAGGTCAGGTGGGTACCACCAGACCGAAGGTTTTGATCCATGTTTCCACAGGGCAAACCATTTGGGGTACCGATTTTTGACCCACAGCCAATTGGGGTGTGGCGGAGTACCTCCCCGGCCATAGGTGTCCTTGTTGGTTGTTTTGGTGGAAAAATAGATGGTGATTTCTGGTTTACCTAGTGGTTTAATCATCTACCAGTGAAACCCATCTACTTCCCCATAAAAGGACACCTATGGTTCAACGTTGTTCCACTTGGAGGCGGCTTTGTCAGGGATCCACTTGGCCATCGATCCACCATGGGTCAAAATCCAGTGTATGTGTCCTAAAAGGACACCTATGCTTATTGACACAATTGGGGTGCGGAGCACCTCCCCGGCGTTTGAGGATCATCATGGACGTCATCGACGAGATGAGGCAACCCCCCGCATACCAGGACCCGGCGGAGGCGAGAGATCTTCCGTAAGTCGGGCGCTTCGAAGGTCCAAATGTGAGCGAAGACGACGAAGACGACACCGCCCTAGTCTTACCATAAGTCTAGGGGTTGGTTCCCCATTTCTTTTCAACCATCGTTATTTTCGAGAACCAGCCATAGCTTGGGGGTTCGCAGCCATCCGGTTCCTTTGCTTTTTAGATATTTTGTGTGTTTGGTGGTTGGATTTCCATTCAACCCACCAAAAGTTAAACTTGTCGCCGGCGATCTGAGCCCAGATAAGCTATGCCAACTGGAGATTTTTCAGGTCGTGAGTTGCACGACAGCCTTCAGCATAGGAGAAAGCAAAGTCTTTGGTGTTCCGGGGGGAGTACATAGGGTTGTCAGGAAGAGTGCCTTCTTCGGGCCATGGTTTATGTGCGCACCTTGAAAGGGGTTTCCAAAAAGGGGTCCATATACGCGCGCGAGGGATGGATCCTGTGGATAAATCCAGTTCGCACCACCTAAGAAACCCTGTTTTCTGAGACGATTCCCCTGTAAGCACCAAGCAGCGTGATCCTTTCATTCCCATTTCATTTTTCGTGAGCGGATTTCGCAGCCATCTACAGCATTGGATCTTCAATCTTCCACTCGTTGGCTCAGCGCAGGGAATCGACCGAACTTGATATCTCAATGGGGGCCTTCCCCGTTTTGTCAACCTGGCCCCTAATGTTGACCCAGGATCTAAGTAGAACCCGTCCTATTATTCGGGGGGTGTTCCCTTCAGTGATGAATCCCCACTAAAAGGGGGAGGTGTCCCCCCGATCAAAATCAGCCAGGGGTTCTGCTGAATCCGGGGTTCACATTGGTGACCTTGACTCCATGGGTCCCATCTGGGGCGCGGGCTTCGAAGTTTTTTTTCGCCCCTTTGGGAACCGGTTCCCAGCAAATCCTCCGGCGGTTTTAGCTGTTGCTTTTCTTGTGTTTTTAGTTTTTCTCGGTTTTTGTCCCCCCCCCCCCGGTTTTTGAGTTGGCTGGGTCTTTGTTCCGTTTTTTTTTTGGTGGTTTCACGGCCACGTCAGTGGCTCCAGACCTCGTGTTTGCCTCTTTGGACTCTCTGCCTTGAAGCTATGGTGGACGCTCCTTCCACGGCTTCTCAGGCAACTCGGCGCAGAATCTGGGCTCAGCTTGGTTCCATGGCACGGTTGTCCTCTTGGTTTTCCCTTGAAACCCACCGAAAAGGAGTGCCAACCCCAAAAAGACAGACCCACATGGGCTTGTCAATTTTAGGGGACCCCTTCCTGTTGGATGGCTTAATTAACTGGAAACCACCCAAAATGGGGAGGGGGGGGGGGGGTGACCCCCATTTGTGCAGAAAAACACCCATCCGCGTCTTTAGGTCGCCAATCTTTACCTGGGCCCGGAAGTTGGGTGCCATTGAGCGATCCTTCACTGGCTCCTTGGCAAGGGTGCTTCGCCGTGCCAGGCACGTGTTTTTGTTTTTTTGTTTTCCAGAATTCGCTCCGCTTTTCGATTGTTTGCTTTTTCGGGGTCCCCTTTGTTTTTCCACTAAACAGGCGAAGAATAACTATCGCTTTTTGCAGGGGTCCTCATTCCAGCCAAGTCTTGATTTCCCCGTGTTTTCTCGGGGTTTTGCCTTTAACATCGACCTAACTTGTCGGTCTTTGCTCCCTCGGCTGGTCGATGGCCGTTCACTGAGAAGGCCAAAACGGATACCGGATTCTCGGCAAAGAAGCTCCCCACTTCGAGGAAGGGTTAAACAGTGTTCCCTTTCTGTTAGGGTGTCCAGGCTGGACAGGCTGGATCTGGCGTCCATTTTTTTCTCCAGCGCTGTGGGGGTCCCTTCAAAATCAACCAGCCCCAAAGAAAACAGGTCATGGAAAACATAGATCTTGTTCTTTTTGAGAAGTGCACCTCAGTCTGTGTAAGTTGCTACAAGGCCCCCGGTGCGTGGCGGCCACAGTTTGGTTTTGGGGTTACAAACCTAGCCCCCAGTTAGGTTTTGTCTTTAAGAGACCCTCCAAAACGGTGGTGTTCCTTTCGGTGTTCCTTTGCCAAGATCCAAAGAGGGGGTACCTAGATGGCCAAGTTGCTGTTTTTTTCAGTCACTTGCTGGTTTTAGGGGGCAAAGTTCATGGAAACAAGCAGCACCTGGCGATCCAGGAAGCCTCAAAATCCCCAAACCACATCGACTTATCGCCAAGTGAGCACCCGGATCTCAGCCGGCTGGCCACAAAAAAGTCCAAACAACCAGGAATTATTGATATTTCCCCAGTTCCACTGGGAATAAGAAGCTCACTTCCTGAGTTTCTGGGCTTTGTATGTTTTGGGTTTGGACCATTTCAGTGGCAAAACACATATTGGACTAACCCACTCAGGAAGTGAGCAAGTGTACAAACGGTCGTAAGCCCTTTTGAGTGGATCATACTTGCAAACCCAATGGATGGCTTCCCTTCTGTTTTTCTCTCTTTGGCAGGGGCTCCTTTAAAGTTCCCTACTTGAAGAGTGTTGTTGATATCTCTTTTTATATCCTTAGGAGTCAGAACGTGCTTCTCCAGGGCACGAATGAGCTGCATTGGTTCCACTAATAATAGGGTTACCCCACTCACCACTTAGGGGACTTATAAGTGGGTCATAGCCTTTTGGTTACCAGCAACTGACTAACTTGGCCGAACACCCCGTATTAAATAGCGACCTTTTTCCCATGGCCATTGGGGATCCTAGGGCTGGCTCATATCTTGAAATGAGTTGGATCCTGAACCTTCAAGTGTGTGTGGGGGGGGGGGGGGGGAATGATGAGTTTTCCACCTGCCAAAAGTACAGTGTTTGGGCAGGAGGGCCGGGGGGGGGGGGGGCAAGCAATACCCTGTTCAGCTTGGTTTAAAGGGAAGCGAAAATGCATATTGATGCATGCCCATATGTGCCCAGGTTAGTAGGGGATACTCCCAACGCTAAAATCGGTGCGGCCTGCTGATTCTTTGCATGGTTTTGTGTTGGCCATACCAGGTGTTGATTTTGACTCATGTGCTATGGTCAAAGTATACAGCTTTGTTTGAAAGCCTGGTCATGAACCCTGAAAGTTTCAGAGACTATATAACTGTATAATTATGATGTTTGTTCCAAGAGAACCATGAGCATGACCATGAAATATGGAGTGTGAGGAGCCGATCTTAGACCAGCCTTCCCCTTTTCTCGTTTCTCGTTTCTTTCTGGCGAAATGTTCCGCCACCCTGGGCGAACCCGGGGCTTTCGGGAATCCTGTCCAGGAAAAGTGTGGTCCAAAGAGCCGCTTTTGAGGCCCGAATCGGAACCCAACCCGAAGCAACCAAAAAAAAACTCTCCACTGCCCACCCTTTACCCCCCTGAACGAGATTCCGTGGGTGGGAGGGCAACGAGGGCATGTCTTCCGTTCGAGTGTAGCGCGATTGAAAGCTCCATCTCCGAAGTGGCAGGGCTGACAGAGAAGTGGTGCCTTGTTGTTTTTCGGGGCTGGGGAAGGGGGAGAGGGGGGCACTTCTTTGATCAACTAACCCTCAGTGGGTTTGGATTGGTGGTTTGGATTTGGATTTGGAGCTTGTTGGCAAATTGGAAACCACCCCGCGGAAGACCTCCAAAACACCAATCAGAGATAAGCTTAAAAGTCTTGTGATTTTTCGTGATGGCATTTCCTGGAAGGAATTTCAGGCTGCCAGATGTGGACTGTTATCTACCTTGAAGGAACAACATTCGCCACGGCCCGGAGAACTATTTCAGAAGTGCCCGTGAGTCAAAGTCCAATGTCATTGTGGGATACGGAAATTGGTTTGCGACTGGCTCACGGAAATTGGTTTTCTGTTGTGTGTATACCGTGTGGCTAAAACCTTTTGGGGCTGGTCCATTAGGTTGTTAGACAAGTTTCAACCTCGGATCTTGCGGATTCATAGAGCTCCCGCCTCCTCCCCTCCGATTGGGTGAGGTTGTCAGCTATTCCACATTATGCCCTTCAGTACGGGATTGCACGTTTGGAGAGACCTGCTTGGCAGGGTCAGGGCCCGTTTTGGATCAAGGTGCCCAGCCTCCAACTATCCTCAATGGGAAATCGCCTCGTGCCAACGTCGAAGACGGAGACGCTGGAGCTCAGTCTTTCCGGCTTTGATGGCACAGAAGTTCACCTCAGCGTGCCAGAGGACATCCTTGGGATCGATCTGGTGCGGCGGGTGAGGTGCCAGATAGCCCCGAAGCTTGGCGCGCTCCACGTGTTCTTCGGAGATGTCCAGCTGTCACATGACCAAACTTTACAACAGCAGGGCCTGAACACAGACTCAGTGGGATCCATTACCTGCACGCCCAATTGCTTGCTAAAGGCATGGAACGTGCTGAAAGGACATGATATGGATGATTCTCAGCAGGTGCTCGAAGGCGTTACGCAAATGAGTGTGGATGGCTTATACTGCATCTTGCCACTTACGCTGCAGAGCCTGACATTCGGCGATAGCTTTGACCAAAGCTTGCATGGAGTGGCTTTGCCGGGCCGCCTGCAGAGCCTGACTTTCGGCCGCAGTTTTGACCAAAGCCTGGATAGAGTGACTTTGCCAGCTAGCCTGCAAAGCCTGACTTTCGGCAGCAAGTTTGATCAACGCTTAAAGGGAGTGACACTGCCAGGCAGTTTGCAGAGCCTGACTTTTGGCTACATGTTTAACCAAAAATTGGATGGAGTGGCACTGCCAGGCACTCTGCAAAGCCTCACTTTCGGCGGTAACTTCGACCAACGCTTGGAACGAGTGACCTTGCCAGGCAGTTTGCAGAGCCTGACTTTCGGCCAACATTTCAACCAACGCCTGGACGGAGCTACTTTGCCACAAGGTCTGCAAACCCTGACTTTCGGCTGGAATTTCAACCAAAGGCTGGATGCAGTGACATTACCAAGCAGACTGCAAAGGCTGACTTTCGGCTGTGCGTTCAACCAAAGGCTAGATGCAGTGGCATTGCCAGGCAGCCTGCGAAGCCTGACTTTCGGAGGTACCTTCGATCAAAGCTTGGATAGAGTGACGTTGCCAAGTAGCCTGCAAAGCCTGACTTTCGGCGATAGCTTTAACCAAAGCTTGGAAGGAGTGACGTTCCCGGGCGGCCTGCAGAGCCTGACTTTCGGCTATATGTTTGACCAAAGCCTGGATGGCGCGACTTTGCCAGACTCCCTGCAAAACCTCACTTTCGGCGGTAGCTTCGACCAACGCTTGGAACGAGTGACATTGCCAGGCAGTTTGCAGAGCCTGACTTTCGGCTGTATGTTCAACCAAGCGCTCGATGGAGTGACATTGCCAGGCGGTCTGCAGAGCCTGACTTTTGGCTATAGGTTCAAGCAAAGCCTGGACGGAGTGTCTTTGCCAGGCAGCCTGCAAAGCCTGACTTTCGCTCATGAATTCAAGCAAAGCCTGGATGGAGTTGCGTTGCCAGGCAGCCTGCAGAGCCTGACTTTTGGTCAAGGCCAATATTTCAGCAACACTCTGGCTGGAGGTACTTTTGGAGGGGGCATGCAGAAGCTGATTTTGGACGAAATGCTCAACCAAAGCCTCGATGGAGTGATTTGGCCAGGCGGTTTGCAGAGCCTGACTCTCGGCAATTACTTTGACCAAAGCTTAGACGGAGTGACATTGCCAGGTAGCCTGCAGAGCCTGACTTTCGGCTGGAGTTTTGACCACAGCCTGGACCGAGAGACTTTGCCAGGTAGCTTGCAGAGCCTAACTTTCGGTCACGACTTTAACCAACACTTGGATGGAGTTATTTTGCCCGGCAGCCTGCAGCGCCTGTCTTTCGGCCATGAGTTTAACCAAAGATTGATAGGAGTGACATTGCCAGGCAGTTTGCAGAGCCTGACTTTCGGCTATATGTTCAACCAAGCGCTCGATGGAGTGACATTGCCAGGCGGTCTGCAGAGCCTGACTTTTGGCTATAGGTTCAACCAAGCCCTCGATGGCGTGACTTTGCCAGGCAGTCTGCAAAGCCTGACTTTCGGCGACATGTTCAACCAAGTCCTCGATGGAGTGACATTGCCAGGCGGTCTGCAGAGCCTATCTTTCGGCGATATGTTCAACCAAGGCCTCGCTGGAGTCAGTTTGCCAGTCAGTCTGCAGAGCTTGACTTTCGGGCACAACTTCAACCAGCACTTTCGGGATGTGGAGTTTGCAGGTAGGCTGAAATCGTTGCAAGTCGGGAGTAGCGCGATTTCTGGCGCTTCATGCGCAACTGATTTGTCTACGTAGGGTCTCAATGCAGTGAGCTGTAAAGACCCCAGCGGCTTTGTGAATTCAATGGCCGACAGATTGACTTGTCTGGTAGCCTGCGCCAAAGGGCAGCTGTTGTCTGAACATGCGATGTGAAACCTAAAACTTCTCCCGTTTGAAGAACCCCAGAAAGGGTTCGCTCTGAAATGGGTTACACTTCCCTCAACCAGTGGTTGATTCATCCGGTGTAATTCTCTGACGTAAACCAAGCTGCATGAACACTTGTTTGTTGAAACAATTTACTGGCGGGATCCACAAACCTTGGGTTGTTGATTTGATCAGTGTTCTGCCAGGTTCCATATATAGAGATACAAACACATACACGTTGGTGTGTTGAAAACATGAATGAACTGGCAGGTGTCGGTGGAACAAGCCATGCAGCACTTGAGGTCCAAGCTTGGATGGATCTTCGGGACCAGGCGATTGTTTCTCCACTACAATTTACTCACTTGCCCAAAGCGAATTGGCGGGATCTATCTTTTTGGCTTTCCTTTTGGTGCAAGAAAGCTCGCAGCAGGTGATCACCTTTCATTTCCAGGGGAGTTTGTGGTGTTTGTGCAAAGGCCAAGCACAGAGCAAGCAAGAAGGGTGAAGTTGCCTTGCGCAACTTGGGTTGAAATTGCGGCAGGCGGCTAAGCGCGGCCGGAAGGTTTCTATCCAATTTCTGAGGCCACCCTCAATTGGTTTGGATTGGTGGTCTGGATTGGATCTTAACCTCTGGCTCTTGTGGGTAAATGGGAATCCATCCCACATCTTCGAACCACCGATTCGGCTCCAATTCGAGGGAAGCACTCAGTAAGCCTTTGCCACCCCAATTGTGGACTATCGATTTGATGGGACACCTCTGCCGTACCAATCGGTTGGTAGGCTAACTGTTTCTTGCTCCCAGAGCCAAAGCATGAAGAGGTGCGAGTCTCAATCTTGAGCTTCAGAACCACACCATGCAACTAGGCATTCGTGGCTGTGAAACCGGGCTAGCCCGACAGCCTGCACCCTAATGCCAAACCCAGGCGACACTCACTCTAAACTAACCAAGCCTCAAATAACCGACTCAAACAACCCTTAAACAACCCCACCTACCAACAATCCCCCCACGAAACGGGGAACCATCACGCTGGGTGGGGGGGGGGAGGACCTGGACCGCATATTTGCACCCTGCTTGCACGAGGTATTTGCGCGACACCCTGAAGTCTCAGATGGCCTTGCGGTGGATAAGGCGGAGACTGAGGCGTCGCTCTATCCGCGATTGAGCGCTTCAGCATGGGCGGCTCGTCTTTTTGTGAGACACGTTTCACCCTGACAAAGACCACAGGAAAGCAGGTTAGTCATTTGGGGGGTCCCCCAAAAGTGACGACACCTGTATGTTTTGAGGGATTGGGTTTTTAGTGTTTCTTTCAAAGCCAAAGTGGGGTGCCCCATGTTGAGCTAGACCCATCGCTACGCTTCACTCCCTCAGTTCCTTTGGGGTGATGTTTGACGGGACATTTAGGGAATGTGAGCCGTAAAGCCCGGGTTGTGGAACCATTTTTTCTTGACTGCTATTGGGTTGGATGTTTAGACTTTAGCTTTTTGGGAAATCAATGAGTTTTCCACTAAACCTCCAAAAAGTAAAACCTTTTGCACGGGGTCAGCAGCAACCAAGTTTTACCCTCCCTCCAACAATCATGAAAGCTGACAGCGGTTGGAACATGATTTTCCTCTTGGGGAAGCCCCCGGGGTCCGCTTCATGAGGGTAGGGTTGGGCTGGCAGCTGGTTAGTTTGGTTTGGTTTCTTCGGTTGAATGGGAGCTCGTTGCTCAGTCCACGAGCCAAAAAGTCCAGGAGCTACGCAGCTCCAAGCTTCAGACCTGCGCTGGCTACTTTGGGGGAGGGGCCGCTTTAAAAGCAAGTTGGTGACTTCAGGTCACTTCCCGACCTCCTGGACGTTATTCTGTTTGGAAAGACCATTTTGGTGGTAAGAGCCATCTACTCAGGAAGTGAGTTGAAAGCAAGTTGCCAATTCCTATTTGGCCCCCGGACAGCCTGGGGTCTGGTTTTTGGCAGTTTCGAGTCCCAAGCTGTTTCTCACGCGTGTGGGGTTAATTGACATCAGCGTCTCCGCATGCCTCGCAGCTAAGAATGAGCAGCCCTGACAAGAGTCCATGCATGGGTGGCCTTTTTAGGTTAGTCCCTTCGTAATCTAACTCCGCATTCGTCCCAAGGACTATACTAATCAGGAGTGGTTTCCCTTTAGGAGGGAATCTGATCTCAGCCCAGCAGCTTGGAGCTTCTTGTTGGTCAATCTTCAGGCGCTCTGCTGAGAACTTGCTTGCGCGCTTTGTCAGGTACCACCTACGAGAACATGATCTACTGCAGCTACTTCTGAGGGATGCGGCGGGCCGCATCCCGGAACTGCACGGGCAACAAGCAGGTCGGAGGTCACTCCTGAACCTGGATCGCCAGTTGCTTTTTTTGTTCATACACTTTACGCCCCAAAACCAGCAACAGTGACTGAAGAAAACAGCAACTTGGCTATCTAGGAAGCTTCCTTTGCTATTTTTCCCCCAAGCGCAGGGAGGCTGTCACTGCCGGAATCACCGCGACGATGTCGGGCTGATGCTGATGCGCCTGGCCGATTTTTTTGCCTTGGGCTGATTTGCCGCAGGGATTTGTCTATGACACCCTGGGACTAAGGAAAAGTACCAAACATCGTTTGTAGTGAGAGTTTATCGGACGGGAATGCCAGGGTGTAGTAGACAGCCTTCGCGTGGGCCAAACTCTGCCGTCATGGCCAACCCGAATTCAAGCCGGGTAGAAAAAGCAACAGACGAGGCAGCGGCTTCGTTTTGAGTGTGTTCAGGACCCGCGCTCCGGAACAAAGGGATCTGCCTCAGAACATTGCCAGGCACACTATAGAGTTCCTGCGTGAACGCACTCTTCAGGCATCCAAAAGTGACGACATTTTGTGCAGGGGTCGGATCCGGGAGGACACACCGTTGGTTGGGTTTTAAGGGGTACTCAATCACAACCCAGTGTTTCCGTTTCTCTGGTAACCACGGTTTCCCACCCTTTAAGCACCAAATGGCACGCGAAGGGTTACCTACTCCAGTGGCAAAATGGATTCCATGCAAACCCCGGTTCAACCCTTTTGACGATTGCATCCAAAGAGAGTCTAGGTCCCCCAGTAGTGCCCTTTTGCCCCTTTTTTGGGGGAGGGTTCCGCTTCTAAAATCGACTGCAGAAAAAAGTTGGTACCAACTTATTCTAAGCTCTCTACTGGACAGCCTGGGAGTTCAACACGAGTTTCGAAGTGTCCAACATGTTTCGGCACCTCCCTCGCAGCTCGCACGTAGAAGGACCTCCGAACCGCTGTCACATCCTTTGGGTGAGTCTTTCGGGCCACTTGACGGACAGGGCCTGGTCAACGGGTTGCACTGACATTGCCAGACTTAGCTTACCTTTTAGGTTTTGGCCTTTGTGGGTTTGCTTCCTTTGTCCCTTCAACCAGCTCTGCAGGAGCAACCCTGTTTGAAGTCAAAATAGAGAAACAATGGATAAGGAGTCTGCTGTCGTTCCTGTTGCCAAGGTAAGTCGCACAAGGGTCTGTGAACAACAAAGCCCCAAAACAGGTTCAGGGGACACCCACAATTCAGGAGGGTGTCGTTGGAGGTTGTGGGATCCCTAAAAAAGGGGTCAAAAGCAAAATCACAACACGAAGGAGTTTCTTGATGCCCTCCCTGGGAGGGGGCTTTTGGGAGGGGTACGGTCCCGATTTCCTATAGTCCAAGGAGCAAAGTTTTGATCCCCAAAAGAGACCGAGCCCTCGATTCGATTCAATTTGGACACCCTCTCTCTCTAAACCAACCCAAAAACCAGCTTCAACCATGCCTCTCTCTAAACCAAAAGGGCTTCTGACTCCAGAGCTCGCACCTCTGAGGGAAGGCTGTTCCATCTTGGGACCCGGAAAGACCGTTAAAAATGAGGGTGTTGCCACAAAAGTGTTCGGCCAAGTTAGCGAGTTGTTGGTAACCCAGGTTATAACCTACCTATCTGTCCCCTAAGTGGGGTTAACCTTGCTATTGGGTTATGACTCAAGCAGTTAACCACTCACCAACTTGGCCGAACATCCAAGTAGGGATGTCCTGTATTATATTCAGGGTATAGTTGGTACCCTACGTTGGATGGACGAAATCCTGCACCACCGTTCAGAAACCCTGGAACCATGATTCCCCTGTAAATACCAACAAGCAACTATTTCAACCATGGTGTCTAAGTGGTGCGAACGGATTTCGTCCATCCACAGCAAATATATATATATATATGATACAGATGTTGGGTTCCGAGTGGCAAGTTGGGCCTGCCAGGTGACGGGCGGGGTAGAGCTTGGCCCGCTCTTTGCGCCGAAGGCGCAAGTTCCGCAAGGGGCCGGGAAGTTGCGCCTTGGAGCTGTTTGGGTAGTGGCACCGTTTTTTTCCCTTTTTTTTTGGTGGCTGCCCCACTAAACATGGTCTTCCGCAACAAAGGGTTCCCTCTCTTGTTTTCCGGGGTCACTGAACAACTGAGTGGGTCAAAATTAACCAGAAAAGCCGAAGCTATTGGTCCATGGCTCCACAGGATTCCATTTGGGGGTTACGCTATTTTTGAACCACAGCCATTTGGCCGCGGTTGGCGTTCGCAGGGCGGCCGGAAAGGAGGCTTCGTGGCTCACAGCACTTTGGTGTAAAACCGGAGCCATTGGAGAGCAAGCCTTTGTCGCGGAAAGCGGTCAGTCCCTAACTTTAAGAACTGTGGATGGTTGCGAAATCCGAAACCGCACCACTAAGAAACCATGGTTGAAATAATTGTTTGTTGGTATTTACGGGGGAATCATGGTTCCAGGGTTTCTGAACGGCAGTACGGGTCCAGGCCAAGGTTTCTGCACTCGGGCCTAGCATTTGCAAGGCAAGGTTTGGTTTGGGGCGAAACCTTCCAGCAGTTGAATCAATCATTGGTAGCTCCTGAAGCTGCTTTCGGCTCCAGAGGTCCCTTATAAGTTCCACGAAGGGTCAACAGATCAGTGTCCAGTGCTTTTGTCCGGTGCTTTTGTCAGCAATCGCTGGGGTACAGCTGCGGAAGAGTCGTTTCCAAGGCCCTTTGCTTGAAGCATACGAAACGGACCAGCGAAAGGCTCGAGTCATGGACTTGCAAGGCTCAGCCCAGTTCATCCAGTTCCCCCAGTTACCACTTGCTGACTTTTCTTTGGGGGGCCCTGTTGAATGACGCAGGGCGTAGGGCAAATCCTTGTATCGGTGGGATTCACAGAGAACTCAGGTAACCCTTCCGGTAGTTGGTGGTGTTCATTGGTTTGGGATTTGAACGGGCCCATGGTTCTTGTGGATGAAAGCCCCTCTGTTTCACCACCACACCGCTTGGAGAACAGCTGAACCAGGCCTTTCCAATGTGACCTGGTAGCTCAAAGGAGGGCACGCACAAAGACCATATGCCAAGGCAGGGGTCTCTGGAACTTGGTTTTGGTAGAGCAAGCTGTGGGACAAAATCCCACCTAGGATTGAAGCAATGTACAGAAATATTGGTTGAGAACCAACCTTCCAGCTGGGAAAAGTGGATTTTACCCATTGACAGTATGAAAGAGACGTTGATTCTATGTTTTCATTTGTAGTTGGTTTCTTTGTACTCCTTTGTAGGCCATGGTGTTCGCCGGGGTGAGAAAGTACCGGGACGCTCTGATGAAGTTGATGAATAAGTCACCGAAGGACGAGGTGAGCCTGGAGACGAAGATCCTGGCGGCATCAATTGGGGGATTCTTATATGCGCACGCGGCGACCGCCAAGGAGTGCGAGCCATGGAAACCGCTGGCTACAGTGGCGCGCTCGACGCGGGAGCCCGCGAGGCCGACGCAGGCGCTGGAAGACGGCCGCCCACGGAGAGTGAGACCAGGAAACGGGGCGGCTCAGTCCTCACTCTCGATCGATGTTCGTTTCGGCCTTTAATCACTTTGTGGGGTTGGACCGTTTAATGGCAAAGAACAAACTGTTCAAGCATTTCCGACGCGAATCTGCTTGGGGCAAGTTTGTTTCTTTCCCATGCGACGCTTTCGGGGTCTTGCGACGCTGGGTTCCAGGGTGTTCCCCATCGGGCAGCGCGAATTGACGAGGACCGTTGGGCTCTGGACCCTTTTGACTAGAACCTGGGAAAGCCCACACCACAGTTTTGCAGGACCACCCCCTTGCAAATGGGTCACCCGAGCATTCCATTTTCTAATTCCATTTTCTCTGGGGAAGACTATAAAAAGATGGGATCGAACCCCCCCCCCCCAGCCTTTTTGAAAAGCTAAGGGGGTTCTCGAGGATTGTGTGGTTGGTCCACTTGCAAAAAGTGGAACTGTACTGTCGTCGGTGTTCAATGATAGCATGCTAAGTGGGAGCCAAAAGATGAGTTTTGGCAACATGTTTGAGGTACTGTTCATGGCTGGGAACCATCTCACAGATGGACACTTGCTGCGGAACTGCAGTTCCAGTGGTTCGAGAACTCCCGCAAGGTACGATTTACGGTCTGGGTAGCATCAGACATGCATGTCGGGGCCGCTCCCATCCCGTTGAGTGTCTTTCCTGGAGTGCAAATTGTGGCTTTTTGGCAGCCCACCTCAAGACTTACTCAGGCCCGTAAGAGGCCTCAAAAGCGGCTTAGTGCCCTATATCGATTGTCTGAAACACACAGCTCACATATTCAGAATTGTCAGTTGGGGCAACACGTGAACTGCACAGTCTGACATGTGTGATCAGTTGCGTGTCTCCGCTTAACATTATTTATCTTCAAACGGCTTCTTGACATATTGCGTAGTTGTTGTATAGTTGTTGCATTGTCATTGATGCATCACTGGTTTTGGCATGTTGGAATGTTGTCCTGATATTTGATACTACCATATCCAGCCTGGCCATAACATGCATTTCGTAGTACATTAACTTCTCACCACGTATATAAGCATTACTGTAAGCTACATGTGCATGTGTGGTTGTGCAATGAAACACCGACTGCATGAACTGGGTTCTAAATAGCCCATATGTGCTTCAATTGTCCTAAGGGGAAACCGCACGGGATGTGTAGTTGTCTTGGTTTCCACAGGTACACCTAATGTTGACCCCGGATTAATACCCCAGTATATTAGTAGGGGTGTTTATGGGTTTAGTGGGGATTTGTCACCTTTGGAGGAGAACACCCCTACATAAATCAACTGGGGTTGGTTAATCTTCCCCAGAATTAGTTCCCCTTTTTACAATTTTTGCCTTTTTGGGGTTCCCTTTGTTTTCCACTACCGTGCAAAAAAGTTGTGTTTTTTTTGCTGGGGTCCTAATTCCATCCAAGTAATATGGGGCCAACATTATGTTGCACCCAGCAAGGGCGGCCTGGTCTTTGGAGGACACCTTTGGCCGACGCATTGGGCGGCCCCCGCCACCCTATGAGGCGGAGATGGTGTTTTTTGCTGGTAGCGCTCTCGCTGAGAGGTGGCCCATGACGAGTGCCGCTTGCCACTTCTTGACTTGTCGGTGTTGAATTCAGAACTTGCACATGCTTCCCTTTAAAGCAAAGAATCCCCCTATTTGTTGCTAAATCGAAGACAACCAACAACAACATGTTTTTCGGGGACCCTTGCTAGACCGGGCCCCACCTTGTATCACTTGGCATTTTGCCTGCGCAGGTTGGAGCCTTGGGACCCCTGGCTGGGCTTCTTGGGTTTGTTGGCTCATGCGTCAAGTCTGGAAATCTGCGTCCCCCAAACAAATGTACCAACCATGTAAGGAATTAGAATATTCCAAAAGCATTTTGGACTCAAAGCTCTTTCAACATGGCCTGCGTAGTCAAAATTCCAACATGGTTCTAATTTTGTGTCCCAACAACCTAGTTAATATCCATAGTCTTTACCCAAGCAACCGCTGTTGTCCCACTGGCTATAAATACCAAGTTGGAATCTGGGTCATGACTTGTAGTCCACTTGAAAGTTGGGTTACAACCCAGGTTGCAAGCCACCCAACTTGGCAACGTCACACTAGTTGCGGAGGTCTTCCAACAATTCTGCCTGTTTTATAGCGAGCTCACCTGGGGATACAACGAGCGAGCAACAGCCATGATAAAGGTCCCTTAGTTGTGGATCCCTTAATTCAGCTTTCGGAAGTATGGTAAGAACAACTAATTGTAAACACATGCATATAGGTAGTTAAGTATTTGTAAGAAAGCATCCATATTTATAAGTTGTGGCCTTTGTTTAGGGCTAGCACTTTTCAAGGGCGAGGTTTTTGTCTTGGAGCAAGCCAAAAACTCGAGAAACATAGCTTGCCGAAGTGGAGTCAATTTTGTGACAGTGGGTTGTAGCCATCTGGGTGTAACCACTTGCTGTCTCTAGATTCTACCACGGACTGCGCTCGTACTGTTTATACGATTCGAGAATTCTACCACGTACCAATACCTCGTCCTGTAGAATCTCTGTGCTCCTGGTACTCTGTTCGCACGTACAGAGAGCAGTAGGTGGAGGGTCCGTTGTATCTGTTCGACCGTCTGCGCTCCAATTTATCCACTTGCTGTCTCCCTGTTTAACCACGGACTGTGCTCTGTTCGCACTCTTTTGGCACTTACGGGTTAGCCTTGGCCGCGTTTGATCATAGAGGCGATTGGCAACCTTGCCAACTAGAGGCTAGTTCACGGAACTGATTCACACCCCTTTTCACATTCCCAGGGTCGATTTTGCTGGGGATGTGATTTTGACAAGGTCAAGGACATCATGGGAAAATCACGTCTGTTTGGGATGCTAAGGGATCTGAACTAGTTCTTTGATTAATGGGTTGACTTGCCAATTACTGAACTCCGTTCGCCCTCTTCTGGAACTTAGGGGGAACCTTGGCCGCGTTTGGTCATAGGTTGATCACCTTGCTAACTAGAGGCCAATAAGCCACATGACCAAACACCAATGCTACTAGTTTGGTTTACTTGCCACTTGCTCACTAAATGTTCATAGCCAAACACATTCTTGCTTGTTACTCACTTGGTTTACTTGCTTGAGGTGAATGGGTTTATAGCCAAGTTTCTTCCCTTAACGTGTTTATAGCCAAATTTATTCCCCATCCTCTTGCTAACTAGAGGTCAATGGGTTTATAGCCATGTTTCTTCCCACCTTGCTATCTAGAGGTGAATGGGTTTATAGCCAAGTTCCTTCCCATCCCTAGACCTGGGTTAATGAGTTTATAGCCACAAACACTTCTCCCCACCATCTAACATGGAAGTGACACAGACCCCTGTAGAATGACTACTTTTGCTCTTGGAAAGGGCCTACTGCGCACTTCCATGTTAGTTGGTGGGAGGGCATAGCCAAAACAGTTCCCCATCCCCTCGGAAGGAAATCACTTGGAAAACTTGCTTGAGGTTAATGGGTTTATAGTCAAGTGTCTTCCCACCTTTCTAACTAGAGGTTCATTGGTATATGGCCAAGTTCCTTCCCATCCCCAGACCTGGGTTTATGGGTTTATAGCCACAAACAATTCTCCCCACCATCTGACATGGAAGTGACACAGACCCCTGTAGAATGACTACTGCGCACTTCCATGCGCTTTTGCCGCGGCTCGGGAGGCCAGCGCTCCGCCACGCTACGACGGCCCCGACCCCGTGGCGGCGGCCGAGGCGCCGACACGCCGAGGGGCCGATGGGCGGAGCGCGCAGGCGGCAGGTGGCCGTGGGTCACCGTTTTGGGATCCCATTTTGGGGTAGGTGAATTCACCACCCATTTTAGAATATATTTTAGAACCTAGTGGGGATGTTTGGATCCCAATCCCAACTAAAATAGGTTCTAAAATGGGTGGTGCACCTACCCACCAAAATGGTACCCTTGGTTTTGCACCATGGACATTTATGTAGGGGTGTTCCCCTCCTAAAGCAATGAATCCCCACTAAACCCAGAAACACCCCTATTCATAAACTGGGTTTTTGTCATATTCACTGGGGGTACCGGGTTTTAAGACCCATGGCCATGTGTCTTTCCTTTCATTTGCTTGAGATGGAGTCCACTTGAGCTTGGCTCCGATCATTTGCTTCCATTTGCTTTCAGTGAAAGCAAATCGGATTATGTTTCCTAGCTTTGAACGGAATCTATCACTGCTGGACATATTTTTTTGCCCAAGGAACTGAAGGAGTTTGAGGAGAGTGTCTTGTTTTTTTCCGGCTTGATTGTTTTGTTGTCTTTGGGTTGTTTGTCCTTTTTCAGGACAACGCATGTGTGTTATGTGTTCTGATTTTTCCCCAACTGCTGAAGGCTGTGGGGTCTCTGCCCAGATAGGCTCTGGGCTGGTTTGGGGCAGCTTGCAGGGAGGATTCCGGAGGGCTCCGGGCTGTTGGGGATACCACCTGGGCTTATTTATATACCTACTAAGCAGGGGTTAGTAATTAGGTTTAGAACCCAAATTGCAGCAGATACTCAGGCGGCGAAGTGTGTGTGTTCTTCTTTCCGGCTCGACTATTTTTTGACAAAGCAAGTGTTGTGTTCTTTTGTGTGGCTTGATTTGTTGGTTCCTGTGTGTTCTTATGCTGTTCTGTTTTTTGCGGGCTTAATGAGTTTGGTGGTTCAGTGCGTTTGTTTCACAATGTGTTTTCTGTGTTGCTGTTTGTTGTTGGCCGTGGCTGATTGGGAGTTTAGTAGCCGGTTCCTTTCAGTTTTCGTTTCTTTGATTTGTTGGCTTGCCTTGGCTCGTCCTCCACGCTTTCTCTTCCTTGTGTGCCCTCCCATCGACCTCCTCACTTCCCGAGTTCCTGGACTTTACTTGTTAGGACGACCAGTTTAGAAGCAAAGACCAAAAGGTTTAATTACCCTTCCTCCAACTAATATGGCACCTGTGGGGAGGTGCCTGGAAGATGAATTTCCTTTTGAAGGGACCCCTGTCAGTTGCCATGATAGTGGGAAGGAGGGTAGACTTCTTGGGCCTACTCAGGACGTGAGCCTTGCATTGGGCACGGAGGTCGGCCAATTGCAGAAGCAGAAGCCTCCCGCCACTAAGCAACGGCCAGCAATATGTGTCCCAACCGCCCAACCGTAACCGCATTCTTCTTGAGAAACATCGTGCTTCCCATGTCCCAGGGCGGGCAGGAGCGTTTTTTCTTTCTCCTAGCCTCAACCCACCTTAAACCCACCCTAAACCAACCCTAGTCCCACCGTGAACCAACCAACTCGTCTTCATCCCACTCTAGATCCACTCAAATCCCAACCTCAAGCCTACCTCAAACTCATCGTGAACCCACCCTAAGCCAACCATATTTCGAACCCTAAACTGATTCTCAACCCACCCTAGCCGGAGCGCCGCCCTGAATTCACCCCAACACCAAGCTTAACGTACCACTCGACCCACCTTAAGTTAACACTCAACCAACCGATTAAATGTATTCTGAACCAACACTAAACCAACAGCCGCGTGGCTTTGTGGCCACTTGTATAAGGACATCAAACAATACTCGACACGCCACTCACCAGCATAATTCGACCAACTAAGCCAACACACGATGCCTCAGCAACCAATCCAATCCATGGAGCCGACGAACGAACGAAGACGAAGCAACAAGACCATCAACGTCAAGCCAGCATATTGGAAGCCAGCCATCAAACCAACGACCATCCAGCGAAAACACCCAACAACTGACAAAGCTCATTCAGCAAACGGCAACATCACCACCAAGCAACAAAGCTCCAAGCAATAAACAACAAGCACCGTCGATGGCCAGGAACGGCTGCGGAAGCAGTTCCAAGAGAAGCAGGAAGAGCTTCAAGCGAGGGAGCGGGTCAGCGCCCGAGGAATTTTGCCCCCGGGCGTGGTTTGAGACTCTTCATTGGTGTTTCTGCACTTTTGGGTTTTCTTTCATTGTTCCCAGTCAACCAGCAAAACATGTTTAACTTGTGGGGGTCTAAGTCTGTCCTTGAGGCCTAAAAGTCTGGGTCCTGCAACAAAACCCGCCTCATTTTGGTTGTCCTGTTTGTTTGTGTCCCACTTCCCCTCTACCAGGCCGTTCCGGCCCCGCACTTTCATCGATTTGGGGAAACTTCAATTGTGTGGAAGCCTTCATTGGCATCCACTGGAACTCGTCCGTTTGGTTCGGATTACCAAACATCATTCACCAGTCGCCTACACAATTGGATTGCCTCATCCACTGGATGCTGTTTCAATCCACAACGGAACTTTTTTCTTGTTTTTGGGGTTTCAGTAGACATATTGTCAAAAAACAAGCCACCAAGAGGACCCCCATGTTCTGGGTGTTTGAAACCACTGACTTGTACTCCACTCGGAAGACATACACGTTTTGTGTTTTGTGCTTGTTTGGTGGGTGGGTACCCCACTGGAGAGCCTCCCATTTTTTTGGACTCCAAAAGCATGATGGGAAACGGCATTGATGGCCAATTTCTGAGATGCCATGGCAATCCCCGTTAAAGTGACAAAAGGCACATAATTTTCGGGCTGTCAGGCAAGCCCGCCATTTTGGGGCTTGCCCCTTGTTCTTCTCACATGGCGGTGTCAAACATCGGTACCCAAGGGTAGAGATGAAGTAAAACTAGGTCCCCCAGTCCCCCAGTAGTGCCCTTTTACCGTTTCTCTTTTTGGGGAGGGTTCCCCTACTAAAATAGACTGAAACAAGTTGGTACCAACTTCTTCTATCCTCTCAAATCTGGAGTACCTCGAAAACCTGTGGTCCATCTCCCGGCGGATTTTTTTCAACGCCCAGCGCGTCCCAAGCCCACCGCGTCCCCGTCCCGGCGCCTCCGAGGCGCTGGCGAAGAGCCAGGCCGAGGCGGAGCTGCAGGACGGGTCGGCGGGTCGGCGGGTCGGCTCGGGGGCGGTGAGGCGAGGCGTGGGGGACGGGTCCCCTGTTTTGGGTGTCCCATGTGGCTGCGGGTCAAAAATTGGTAGTCAGAATGGAAGCCTGGTAAGAAGTGCGTGTCTGATCCCTTTTCTGGGGATGGGTTCCCATACATCGAACACCTTGAGACCTGGAGCAAATGAACAGTTGGCGGTCAAAAATTGGGTAACCCCGAAATGGGTTGCCCTGGAAAATGGAAACAGAAACTAAAACCAGCGGTTGGCCCTAGCTCTTTAATTTTGAGCCACATCCATACTTCTGGTCTTTCCTAGGGCAAGCCTTGGTTTAGGGGACCCACAAATTGGTGGTTTTCCTTTTCGGTTTCCTTTGAAACCATCGTTTTGGGGGGTCCCCTGAAAAAAGACACACCCAAAATAACAGAAAGGGACCTCCTGGGAGGTTGGGTTTTCTAAAGCCACAAAAGGAAGGCGGGGCAACTCGAAAGACACAGCCAGTTTAAGGAAAGATCCATTGGTTGCTATTTTCAAGACCAACAGATGGCTCAAAAAGAACAACGTCGATTATCTTTGGTTATTCCCACCTGGAGGGAAGGGAGGACCGCCGGAATTCCATGTCCAAAAGCTGCCAAGCTCGACCTTTTCATCGCCTGGCCTTTGTCATTGTTAGTCATGGCCCCCAAAGGTTATTTTTCTATGTCCAGGTCCTTTAGGCAAGTGAGTGAATCGGGACTTTCTCTTTGGGGATTCCAAGGGACGTCACCCTGTTGGCTCAAGACTAACCACGCATGTATAGTCAGCTTTGGATTGACTCACTCAACCTACAATCCGGCGCCACAATTGTCCCATGTTCCTCAAGGTGGCTGCGTATGTTGACCGTGACTCACATCAATTCTTCATTTCTTGGCTTGGACACCATGGTGAGAGATGTTTTGTCCCACTTACAAAGAACTGCTTGTGTTGGAGGGGTCCTCATGAATTGTCGGTTGAAGGACATATCATGGGAATCCTGGCCCATGATGGAAGCACCCCCGACGTTGGTTCAGACTCCCCGGAGAAACCACAGGCTTGCTTTTTTTTTCCAAACACCCATTCATAACCATCAAAGGAGCCTCTCAAGGTTCCAAATTAAGTTTAGTAGCTTTAGGCTTCCTTGCGTGGATTCTCTCATGCATTAGATTTATTCCAAGGCTTGATGTCAATGGAAGCATCACCGTTTCGGAGCATGAATGTACCTGGAGTCTCCATGACTCTTTAAAAATGGGGTCATTAGCCAAAACAATGGGGTCATGGACCCATATGTTTTAAGGGTCATGGAGACTCCAGGAATTTCGGGTTGGTGGGGTTGATGTTCAAAGGAGACACAGGAACTCCGAAATTCACCCTGTCCTTCCCAAGGGGGAGGCAAGTTTTTTGCTTATGGTCTGATGAGCCACGCCGAAGCTGCCTTCTCAGGTACCAAATGACGCCCTTTAGAACATGTTAGAACTTTTTCGACCAGCATCCCTGCTGTAAAGCGAAACCCAAGCGAGGAATGCCTAAAAAGTAGGATCGCGGGGTACAAGGAATCCAACATTTTAACTCATAAGATGGTAATGTGTGCAATGATTCAGCTCCTGAGAGTAACCACTCAAACCCCCCAGCTCCAGCCGTTTGGGCCAGGTGCGGCAGCTCAGCGAGATGCAGCAGAAGGCGGGAGAAGAGGCTCTAACCAACCCCGTGCTTGGCTAGGTCCCCCGGCTAGGTGCCCTTTTGAGCCGTTTCTTTTTTGGTTGGGATGGAAATCCCCTACTAAAATATGTTCTACAGAAAAAAGTTGGTACCAACTTATTCTAACCTCTCAAATCTGGAGGACCCAGTTGGGGATATGTTCGGCCCCAGGCAAGTAGGTTGGAATCATGCATGAGTCCTGGAACAGATACCTCGTATGTAGGCAGGTGAATTAAGATCTGTCTTCTACCTCGATTCCATGGTTGCAACTAGGCAAGTAGGTTTGCTTGGTAGACAGATGACTTAACACCAATGGTACCTGAAACCACTGAATCAGTGAAGAAACCAGCTACAATCCAAGCTCGCTGACTTGGCTTCAATAGTTTCAAGTCACCACGGTTTACTTGGCGGTTCCCAGTCGTCCCAGGGGATCACGCATTGGGGGATCTGAGGATAGCCCAGTTTCCGCAACCTGTATTTCCCAAGGGCGGCATCTAAGAAGAACCCGACAGTGGCCACGAAAGTCCCGAAGCAAAGGTCCGAGACCGAATTGCAAGCCCAATTTGTTGCTCTCCGCGATCCCCTCTGCCAGCCGCAAGCTCTGTTTAGTGGAAGACCTCAAGGAGTTGTTGGTGGACGCACCAAGGTGTGAGAGGCTTGTGCGACGTTCCTACGCAGCAAAACAGCAGCCAACGGATTGATTTCCTTGCCCTTCATGGCACGAATGCTTTTTGGTGGAGTCCCGTGGCCGGCGGGCTGGGCATTTGGGCCTTGGGTCACTATGATATCTGAGCATCATTACGCACCAAGCCATTTGGCGGGACATCGGTCTTTGCAACTGAGTTTGTCTCAAAGTGGCACGCCGACAAAAATGATTATGGGGCTGTGTCCTTTCGGTATCCCTGTTAGCTCTCCTACTCCATCCTGAAAGGGCAAGGTTCCTCGTTTCTGTCGAGGCCCTTCAAGTAAGTTGAAGGTTTAAGACAATTGGAGATCTTTCGGATGTGGTAGGTTGAGTTTGAACTTCTTCGGCGCAAGTTAGTTTGACTCAGATGAATTTCGCTCGCAGCACGACACTGACCACCAAGGGTTCGCCTCTGATTTGGTCTATTTGTCGGTTGATGTGGAGTCCATTTCAGGTTTGTTTGGCTGACCAGAGTTTTAACGCTGGGACCCTGCCAGTCAAGCAATTGGGAAGGCCTTCAAGTGGTACTGCGCACAGATGTTGCGACAACACGAGCGCGGAAGACGGTCCCTCGCGGATGGCGCAGACGGCCGTGAACTTGAAAGTACAAAAACTCCCGGGGATATGGTTGCTTTGGGATTCCACTGTTGGCGCTCCGTATATCGCTGGGCCATGGGTCAAACTCCCGTATCCCTAGTGAACAACCAATGCAACCACTAAAATAGCAAGCCTAAAATGGGTGGTGAATTCACCTATCCCAACCAAAATGGTACCATTGGTTTTGACATGCTTTGACCCACAGCCACTTTGGCCGCTTCGCGTTACGGCGCGGCCCAGGCGCATGAGCAGTCTCTGGCCCTCGCGCAGGCGAGACAGAAGCGGCCCCAAATCCACGGAGAAGGGTTTCCAGTTGCCCGTGGTGTTGCCCGTGTTGCCGTGTTTTTTTTGGGGGGGGAAGGTGTCCCCTTTAAAGTCAAGCAAGCCAAAAGAAGAATGCATTTTTTCCATGGCCACCGGGCATTTGAGGGTATGTGGTCCCAGACTGGACGAGGTTTGATCCATACTGCTTGGGTGTTCGATCCGCCAAGTTTGGAAGTTGTTTGCAACCTAGGTTCTAAGCCACTCGTTGAGTCGCTAGCCACTTACTAGCTTGGCCGAACATCCAAGTGTGGAAGTGTGGATGGTTGCGAAATCCATTCCGCACCACCCACCGATCAGAATCCCTGAAATGATTCGATTTCCCTGTTAGTACCAACAAACACTCGTTTCAACCATGGTTCTGAAGTGATGCAGGAGTTCATCCATTCACAGTACCTTATACTTTATGACAAATTGTGGAACGACATTTCTGATCACATGATTGTTTGTATTCGCGGGGTAACTCGAAAAACAACCGATACACATCACAATTTTGGGAGGGCTCTTAAAGACACATGCACCTATCCCGCTTTAGTTAGGCTCAATCGAACTGGAGCAAGGCTTGTATTTCCTCAAAACGAAAAACAAAACAAAAAAACACATCCGAGAAAACAACGTCCCGAAATAAATCCGCACCCTTTCCTGTTGGTTGCCAATGATGCTCGCCAGGCAATGCCTATGGATCAAAACATCTGGGCCAGCGGACTCTTGTTCCAATAATCTATGGTGCATTTGGGAGGGACTTCGGAGACAAGCTTCAGACAATTCCCTTCTCTTTGGGAAACAAGTCATTTTGATGACTATGCCTGTTGACAGCAGGGATCCTACCACTGAGAAGCTAAAAGGGTCAATGGCTGGTTGTTGAGGACATTGGGGTCCAACCAAAGTCACAAACAACTGGGAATACCCACCAAGTGTCCACGATGAGAACTTAAGGTTGCAGTCTACGGTTCATTTGGGGTTTCTGTTGTTTTGGAGATATTTGTTTCCCCGTATAAATGGCAACCAAAAGGAATGCCACCACAAAATATAATTCCATAAATTTCAAGCACAAAACTGGAGCTTGAACCCGAAATAAATCCAAAGGGGAAACAGGCTTGCAAGCAGCACCAGCCATAAGTTGGGTGGATTTCAAGGTCTTCATGTTTGTCCGTTGAGTGCTGCGAGGGAAGCGGGTTCTTTTGTTTTGCTCTTTCCAGGACAGAACCTGAGGGCGCACCTTCCTTGGAACAGCCCTCCGCGCATCAGCCAAGGTTAGGGCGTACAAAGGAATCCGTGAGAGGGACACAACAACTGCGCCAGACAAAAACCGGTTGAACCGCCCCACATTCCCCACATGTCCTCTTGGGGAACCAAGTAGTTCCGACCCTGCCTTATAAAACTTCCCACGCTTCGGCTTGGCCCCCATAAGCATCGGTCGGCCTGAAATTTTGCGAATAGAACTGTTAAGGAGGGAGTATGGGAACAGGTGGCGGTGGCTCTACCTGGACCCTTCAACTACCCTTCAAAATTGTTGAACTCCCCAACAAGAATGTTCTGGGTGAATTACAACGACCTCACACGACCGAATTCACCCCAAATGGCGGTGTATGTTTGGAATAGCCCCCCAATCACCTTGTTTCAGATTGGTGAAATGTTATATTTCACCCAGAATGTTGGTTGGTCCAGGTACCTACTTGCATCCCTAGATCCCATCGCGATCCATCATGCGTCATGCGTCAAAACGAAAGATGCTCCAGGCACAGGCGCTATTGCAGGCTCAGGCGCGTTCTGGGTGAGCTGCACGCCTTGGAGCATACCCCAAAATCAAGGGTAAATTGGGGGAAAGTAAGGCCTAGGTTTTTCCAGTAGTGCCCTTTTACCGTTTTTTTTTGGGGTGGAGGGTTCCCCTACTAAAATAGACTACAGGAAAAAAACAAACAGGTACCAACTTATTCTAACCTCTCTACTGAAGGACCTAGTTGGTGTTCGGGGGTCAGGAGGAGTCTTTGATGGGCTTGTGAACTGGGTAACCTCCGATATGCACGCGGACAGACCCAGCTCATATGCAATCCCTCGCTTCCGGAGTTCATGAACTTTAAACTTTTTGAGAAGACCATTTTAGTGGTAAATCTAAAGTTTGGACTTTTTGTTGGGCCATCCACTCAGCAAGTGAGCTCCCAAATCCTTGTGGTCACAATACGGCCTCTGTGGTTTGAGCCAAGTACTGAGAAGGAACCATTGCCAGACTTGGCTTGCGCGGACTTTTTGCCATTTGCGGTTTAGTTGGTTTCGTGGTTGGGTGTCCATCTGCCACATCTCTGAGGAAGCGATGAGGGTTGTCCCGCGCATGAGGTTCACTCGCGCTCTTGAGAGGACGGTGAGGGCATAGAACATTGTGAATCTGGCTTTGAGGGAATATAATGGACATCCTCTTGAACTTCAAAATGCCCATTGACCCTGGATTTCTTCCAGTTTGGATGAGGTTACCTAACATGTCCAAGGATGCTGTACTGGCGATCAGGCGGGTGGACGATGGTCAGATGCTTGCACCCGTTATGGCCTCTTACGGAAGCAATCTGGAATTTCAGAGGACGTATCTGCAGCAAAAGGGCCTGTTCATGCAAGTTGTGCAAACAGCGTGTGGGAATCTCATCCAGGGGAGATTGCAGCGGCTCTTGGTTTTCCTTCTGGACTGTGCATTGGTGCCGAGCTTGAGGATGCATACAGGATGCTGGGGAACAGTTTTGCGCCCATTCATGCTGCGCTGGCGTTGTCACGCATTGCTTTGCTCTTCCATGCCCCTTTTGGGGCTGATGACTTTCCACTGTCAGCAACAGGGATTGTGCAGACTCTGTTGAGGGGTGCCTTGAAGTCGAAATGGACTTTGACAGGATGTGCGGGTGAATTGTCCAGACTTTGCAGTGACGGGGGCCATTACACCGACCTGCCCCATGTGTCGGCTCACTGCCTTGAGGTTGAACCCATACGTTGTTCGCTTCTGATCAGCTTCTAAAAGGCAGTCGGATCTATTTACCGTGGATGGTTGAAACCAGGGTTTCTAAATCCACAGTATGGGTGTGTTGATGTTTTAGAGGGAACCTCTTTTTGGTTGGCTTCAAAGGAAAACCAGAGGAACTTCACCATGTTCTCACTTCCCGAGTTCCTGGACTTTAGTCACGTTTTTGGTCTGGACCATTTTGGCGGTAAACAAAAAGTTTGGTTGCTTTTGTTCGTTGCCATCTCCTGAAGTGATTCTAGGTCCCCCAGTAGTGCCCTTTTGCCAACTTTTTCGGGGAGGGCTCCCCTACTAAAATAGACTACGAATCCACAGATGGAGCATCCAAAAGCAGCCTCTAGATTGCCTCTTCAGTGGGGGGGGGATCAGTTCGACCTAGATGCTGAACTGTTTCTTTGGTGTTTTTTTGGGGGTCAGAGGGAGTCTTTGATATTGGTGTCAGGTGTTGATTGTGACTCAAGTGGCTGTGGGTGAGAAATAGGTACCAGAATGGAACCCTGGCAAGTGGAAACGCGGACTAAAACCCGCGGTCCCCTGGTGGTTTAATTTTGACCATGCCACACTGGGAAAAGGCGGACTTTTTCAACCCCAACGCTTGAATCTATTTCGAACCCTGTGGCCCTGTGGCTGTCTTTTTGCTTGACCCAGGGGACAGGGGATTCTGGGGATCAGTTCCTCAACTCCAGGTCCAAGAGCAGCGCCAAGAAACGCAGCAGCTGCTCACAGCCGCCCCAGACCGAGAGTCCGAGAGACCGGGGTTCGACCGGGGAAATGCTTGGCTGTGTGGCTCTGTGTGTGTGTGAGAGGGGCGAAATGAATACGCGGTTTTCTTTATGGCTATTTGGTTGTGGGTCAAAACCTATTGTGGCTTTTTGGGGGATGGATACTCCACTGTTGTCTTTTGGAAGGCTTTCTGGGTGTTCACCGGGGAACCGGGGTTTTGACCCATAGCCATTTGGCCAACGGATCTTTGGACTTTAACTCTTTTGTTGACACTTTGCGGATCTTCCGAATTGGACCCACAAACAGATTAGCACTTTGTGCAGAGGCGTCAACAGCAACTAAGCTTTACTCCTAAGGTCATGACTAAGTCGGGTTTTAAACGCCAGGTTGAATTTTTCATGGACCCAGTAACAGGAAGGGTTTCATTCATCCGGGGTCAACGCTATCGGTGGGCGCGGTGTTCAGCAAAGGGGCTAAATTGCGCATGTTTGCAAAGCAGCACAAAGCCTGATTTGAATTATTTGGGCTCTTACTTGTAGTACCCAGGGGGAGAGGGAGTCCAAAATGAAACCATGTGTCTGGAGGGTTCCCTATTGTGAGAGAACATATAGGATCCTATAGATGGCTGTTCCCTCAATTGAAGGAGCAGGGGCTAAACAGGTAGACACAGACTGACTTGGACGAAATCCTGCGCCACTTTGAAACCATGGGAAACCATCATAGGCTGGAATTTGCATTCATTCCAATGTTTCTCAGGTGGTGCGAAATGGATTTCGCAACCATCCACATGGTTAGTTTGGCACCTTGGCGAAGACAATGTTTGGCCAGTGACTCGTTCTCAAACCCCCCACGCCCCACGCCAGAAAAGCAGGCAGGATTACTCGTGAAATGATGGACCTATGACCTATCACAGTGGAATCCTGGAGGCTCCCGCAAGCAGGTTGCGACTATAGGGCTTGGTTGCACCAGCAACAACAGGTTGACCAGGGAGAGACAAGGTTCTTGGCACCATACTTTGCATCGCCCCATGTTTTAAGGGTCCCAAGCAGACTCTGCAAAAATCTGGCTGGAGTGAGAGGGGAACCATAAAGAACCAATAAAAGTGGAAAGGGGCCAGGTTCTGGCATTTTATGTCTACCACGAATCCATTTGTAGATAAGAAATTTGGATTTAAACTCCAAGCCCACGCCCACCTGCATATCTCGCTCTGGACAGGGATTGTGTGATTACGCCAAGGGCTTAAACCCATTCTTTCATTTGCTTCATGATATGTTGTATTTTCCCCTGTGGGTTTTAGAGGGAACCTATCACCACTGGCACATGTGTTCTCATCATTTTCAGGGAACGTATCGGCAAATCATCGGCTAACTTCCGGCTTGAGTCCAAGTCTTGAGCCCATCATGTGTTCGTAAACCCCAGAAATGTTTATGCTTTAGACTACTTCCATTTGCTGAAGAACATTGTTATGTTCCCCAGTTGGTTTAAAAGGGGAATCTACCACTATTGGATGTGTTTGTTTCTTCTTGGGGACGTAAGCAAATGGAATACTAAGTATGGAACGTCAGTTTTGCGAGAATGTTCGGTGTTCCCAGAGGGCCAAGAAACGATGTAGACGGTGCCACTGAACCAACATGACCACATATTTGCTGCCAGAGGTGCAGCAGCAAGCTGAAGCCGCGCAGCAGCGGACGGCGGAAACAGCGCTGCAGGCGGTGAACGCACTGCAGGAGCGGTCCGAGAGCAGTCGGGCTTCGACAACCGGGAGCCCGATGAATGGTTTGCTCGCACATGGGGTCGCTATTTCCTCTTAAAGCGTGGTTTGAAACAGGGTAGAGAGAGGGTACAAATCCTCCATCCAAAATATTCGGTGGCCAAGTTGTGTCACAACTCGCCAACCGAACTCGCAGTACCTAGGAACCCTGAGCATGTTGATCCTTGGCCATCGAAAGACCAGGGTCAAGAAACATGGCACTGTTGGTACATGCGAGCACAACCAAGAAGCTCGTTTATGGGCCAGCAAAAGCAAGCCTCCCCAATGCAGGCTGGGTAAATGATGATCTAGGATGCAGACCTAACGTCGAGTGTGAAACTGGGGTGTTGAGCCCTCGAGAAACATTGCTTGCTTTCAAAGAACCTGGGAAAGGTGGGAATTGAGCCAGTGAGAAGCATGCGCAAGAGGGATCCTGGAAAGCTTCCGCAGATGTTTGCCCCTTCAAAGGATCTGGAAATTGCCCGTCCACTGAAGATACGCCGAAATTGCCCGAAGGTCACAAAGGTTGCAGGGGCAGATGATGGAACTGTGTTGTTGGTTACATACTTAGCTGCCAACCCAAGAAGTGGTACGCTCAAAATACACAATCCCACTAAATTGGAAGCCGGTTTACGATAGTTAGGATTCACCCAACTGATTGAATTTTCTGACCTGCAAGCAGTACTGAGGATGCCGAACCGTTTGGATCTCCACGTTTGGTTGTTTTTTTCAGTCAAGGCTCCATAAGGGAACCGGGCGCTTTTGGCAAGTTCGGAGAATTCCAGGGGCCGCTGCTTTCCTTCAAAAGGTTGATTTTCAGCATCGCCAAAGGGGGCCAATTCTATGTGAGATGTGTTACTGTAAGGGGAAATATAGGGAAATTGACCAGCGCCCCCCCCAATGGCACGCCAGCCAAACAGCCAAACAGATGTGTTACTGTAAGGGGAAGTATAGGGAACTTGACCAGCACGCCCCGATGCAATCCACATCACACCCCAGACCCGCGCTGCTTAGGAGCGCTTGGCAGGCACGGGAGCATCGATGGAAGCCTGTTTGGAGCAAAAGGGCGATGTGCCTTTTTGTTGGTTTGCCATGCTTGGGCCAGAAGTCCTGCTTTGTTAGCCAATATGGGGTTTAACTGAACTTGGTCGCCTCTTTGCCTTGTTTGTTGCTTCCATTTGCTGAAATGAATATGTTGTTTTTGTTTGTGTTGGTTTGAGCGTGCTTCTTTGAGTCAACCCTTGGGTGGTTTCAAACGGGATCACAGGGAAAACCATTGCGCCGGGTCCTCTATTTTTTAAGACTGGTTTTTTCCCCAACAGTGAAAGCCATGGGTCTCTGCCCAAATAGCTCGTTGATCCTGTCAGTGGTCATATGCTTTGTTGGGCAAGAAGGGGCTGATATCCAAGTCTGGAGTCAGAGTTGGTTTTGGTTACTTCTGGCCAGAACGCCTGACCCTGATTGTTTCCGGTGATTTTAAGGGTGATATCTAGGCGCCAGGCTGAAGAACATGACAGAGCCACATAGATCCATTTTGCATACGTATGAGGGGAAGCGCTCCTCCAATTGGTGGTGTCCTTGCGGTTTCCTCTCAAACCACGAACACAAAGGTGTACTTTCATTTGCTTAAGAACCGAGTTAAAGAGAACCTATCGCGACTGGACACATTTCTCTTTTCCAGGGGACGTATCCGCACGTACTCGTACGTCCAGACGGGACACCCCTCTCCGATTTTCTCCAGCAAAGCACGGCCAAAGCTTGTCTCTCGGAGGCGCTGTGCCATCCGCCAGGCCGAAACTCCGTCGGTTCGATCGTCGCACACCCTTTCCCACTGGAGAGGGGTCCTGGCTTGGACCATTTTGTTTTTCAGGGACCCTGCAAAGTACCTTCTACTGGATTTCTTGCATATGCAGGGGGACACCTCAAAAGATGGTGTGCCGAGTGGTTGTTCCTTAAAACAACCGAAAAAAGGGTACCCTCAAAAGCATAGACGAAAAGAAACCGGTACAATGCACCTGTTGTCCAACTGTTCCTTAGGTGCGTTCAGGTTTCCACGGAGCCCTCCAACGGGGCTCTATTGAGCGGTATATGTTGTTTGGTTGGCTTCAACAAAAGGACAGCCTCCAGTTTGGGGGGAGGGTCCTATCTTGAGACCCCATATACTCCTATGCTGGTTTCTAGCATTGCGGGAGTGCTTTGTTGCATGTGGTGCGCAGTTTGCCGTTGCCTTTTTGGCCTTCTCACTGGTGCACATGTGGAACTGGTCTCCCCAAGGAGAAAACTGGATCAGTCCGGGGTTCCATGTTAGCCTGGAGTATAGCTGTTGCTTGCTCGGGGTGTTAACTGGACATAACCCTTTGTCGATTGCTGCCTTGTCCAATGGACCATCAGTGAAGACGTGACCATTGGCTGGTCTTTGTGACCAAGTCGTCTGGAGAGACCTGTTGGCAACACATGACTTTCTCATTCAACCTACAAATGCTGGACATTTTGCTTGGGAGAAACCCACTGGGTAGATGGGAGCCACCAAAGTTGCAAAGGGTGTCATACGTCATCAACCGAAGCTTTATGTTGGGCCAGCTTTCCAACAATCGGATGGAACGTCCGCCTTGGTAATTAGATCTGTTGACTCACTTCCTGAATTCATAGACTTTTTATTGCATCCAATCGATCGGAAATGAGTTGATGAGTGCCAGGATGTTCGCTTTGTCCCCTTCCCAGCCATGCCTAGACGAGTCTTCCGTGGGGGTGAGCCCTTTTTTGGGGTCGTCTTCAGTCTTCTTGTTTCGAACCGGGAGGCTCATAGTGCTAGCCATACCTTCCATGTCTTATCCCTCTGAAGAGGGATCCCCATCTCTTGGGAAACCCCGCGGGAAAATGGGTGGCTTCTAAAGAGAACGACGGGTGAAGAGAATGGAACATCAACCCTTAGAATAGTCGTGAGCTTTTTACTATGTGATAGTCCTGATGCTCAGACCCTACTCAAAAAGAGTCTCCAAGCGTTTTGCTGGCGATCTAGAAAGCCCTTCGGTCTCTCCCGAAGTAAATGTAGATTGTTGGATATTTCGGCTGTGTCGCAATGATGCCTTGCATCGTGCTGCGTGAATATGACATGAGACATGAAGAGTATGCTGCCAATGACGGTCTGTCCAGCAAAATACGTGTTACAATTGAAGATGTTGCAAGGAGAACTGAGATTGGATGTTTCATGAACGCAAAACCTGGCGCATGTTCCTTCGCCAAGCCTTTGGTTCCTTGTTAGTGATACTATCATTTGGCTGGTCAAAACTAGGTACTACAAAATGGCTTGCCCTGGCAAATGGAAAGACACATGGACGAAAACCTGCGGTCCATATTGGTTAGATGTCTCGACCCATGGCCCAAGTCACTTCGAGCTTTCGCGGCCTTGAGCTTTTCGGCCCAACGAATCCGGCAATCGAAGAATACACATTGGTTTTTGTTGGTAGGTCCCATCTTAGACTATAAGAAGCGTGTAGAGTCCAAACAGTTAACACATTCTCTCATGATGGCTTTATTTAGTGTTGAAGTGCCTCACAAGCCTTCTCTAATTTAGGCCCTAGGTATCTCAACGGGCACCACGCTAAGCTAAATGCGACCTCAACTGCCATGGGCATCCTCCGGGACGGTGGTGTTTGCCTGTCCGACAGTCACCGCGTGCTTGAAAGGGAAGAATCTTAAGTATTGAGCGATTGAGTGGCTCAGTTTTAGTGCCTGAACTTTTGTCACTTTTAAAACGGGTTTGGGCCGTTGCGGAAACGGGTTTGGGCCGTTGCGGCAATCAGCACTTTGGACTACTGTTGCGAATCCACTCAGGAAGTAAGTTGAGTGAGGTTCCTTACGCGTCCTCAAGCGGGGCCACGCAATTGATGCAGGTGGCTATCATAGACAAGCACAAGTTCAATTCGTAAAGGGCGGTGTAACGTAATCGAGTTTGTGTCTGCCCACTTCGACCATGGGCTTTACCAATGTTCTGCAAGGAGCAACTAGTGCTAGCTGCTTTCTTGCAACCTGATGGAGTGACTGCGTCTCAAGACTTAAAGGACAACCATTGAGCGCCGCTGGGAGTCGAAACTTAGATTTAGCTTTACTTCTTTTGAGTAAATCTAGGTCCGATAAAAATGAGCAGTTTGAGAGTTTCTGAGACTTACTTTTGGCAGTTGTTTCCCCTGTATGCAGCTGGGCTGTTTGAAGACCGTCCCTATCCTTCTCCAGGTTCCGAAAACGGACTTGATTTCCCGGACACCCCGTCGGTTGCGAGCCCGTATTTGTGTTGTTTTTGTTTAAAGGGGGGGGAAGCTGTTTAAAATCGACCAACAACCTGCACCATTGTTGGATCAAGTGCTACTTGTTGTTTTCTGTCCATGTTTAGGGGCTGCAAAAGACAGTCGGCCTTTTGCCACACCAAGCATTCATTTGCGTAAGAAGATGTTTTATGTTCCCTTCTTCCTTTTAAAGGGCATCTATGACTACTGGATGGTTTCTTTTGGTTTAAACAAAGTCAATAAATAGCATATTGTCCATTTGTTGTTAAGCAAATAAAGCAACTCGTGTTTTTCTCCAGGGAGCTTAGGGCAAATGGAAGCAAGCCACTCCCACCACTCGCGGAGACGCGGAAAGCGATCAGCTCGTGCAGTGCGCTGAGCGCCGCGCTGGCGCCGGTGCACTCGGACCTCGCGCGCGTGGAGGCCGCAGTCCGACAAAGACGTCTTGCTTTGGGTTTGTCGGTTTGGTGTAATGGAATCCATAAGGGGGGCGGGGTAGGTACGTTACGGGGGTTGAGATCCTTAGGGTTCCTTGGGGTTGGGTTAAGGGGGGTAGGTATGCTACGGGCGGTCAAGGGGGGTGGGTAAATGCCTAAGAGGGGTAGGTACAAGGGTGGTCAAGAGTTGAGAGCCTTAGGGTTCCTCAAGATTCCCCACGGGCTGTGGTTTGTTGCCCTAAGGGGGGGTAGGTACGTCGCAATTGAGAGTTTCAGGGTTCCTTGGGCTTAGGGAGGCTTTTCCTGAGGGAGCCGTAGGGAACCCTTGGGCTACCCACCCTCAAAAACTCTATTTTGTTGGGTGGTTTGGTTCGGATGGAACAAGGGTAAGGGGTTAAATCGGGTTAAGAAGATGGAACAAATCCAAACATCAGGGTTTGGTGGATGCCGTTGCAGTAGGGTAAGAATCTAGCCCCACTTTAACTAGCCCCAGTTTTGTTAAGACACACCAGGGTTTTGTTGGGCAAATGTGGTTCAAAGTAGGGTAAGACACCGGGATCCGGGCGTTGGTTTTTAGGGATCTGGAGGGCGAGAGGGCAGTTTTTCTCAGTTCCCTCGTTTGGACCTCCCAAAGTTGGCATGGATGGAATTCACCCTTGTTTTGGGGGAGAATGTGGTCCAACATGGGGTAAGAACACAGGAAAAGTAACCTGACTTCCAGCTAAGGGTTAGATGCCAGTGTGTGTGTGTGTGTGCTTGTTTTTGAGGAATCGCAAATACTCACGTCGGGTGAGCTGGGTCCGTGGTTGGTAGCATCTTACATCTATTTTTACTAGAATGATGATGGTAGAAATCAGAAAAGGTTGGAATCCTAGATATATGGGTGAATATTAGGACCAGGTAGGCAGGTGATTCATGGTGATTTCACCAAAAAGGTGATCTTAAGTACCTTGGGTTCACTACACGACGGGCAAGTGGCGCACCATGGGGTCTAGTGAGTCAAACTATGTTCGGGCATAAGTATGTTATGGCCATGGTTGCAACTCCTCCTGTCCTATACGCATTCGCACTTCTTGGCACGTGTTTCTTTAGTCGTTGGGTTCTGTTCATAATCAGTAGGTGGCTGCAAAAGAAACAAGAGTGTCCCTCACATTATGGACCTTTTCAGGGTGGTTTACGTCCTCTTGGTTACCCCTTACAAATGGGCTCCTATTTTGAGAAACCCCAAGAATCAGTTCTAGCTCGCATGAAGGTTGGACAACTAACCTAAGTAGAGTGAACATAGGCGGTTGGCACCAGACAAACCCTGTGTGTGGTTGCTTCTTGGGTGTCAAACAGTTGTCGGCGGGAAAAGCACGTCAAGAGGGGTCGTGTGTTCGTTTTCTTGGGAACCAAGCCATTGGTGTTAAAGGGAAACCAAGGAACCATGACCATCTTAAGACGAACCCTCGGGGTTGTGTCCACTAGTTTTTTGTCAGGGGATTGCAGGATCCAAACAAATGCAGGTGTTTCCTTTTGTTGTTTTGTTATTTTAAGTAACAAAGAACGGGCACCCTAAATGAAAAGGCACACCATGTTCCTTCGATCCCCAAACTTGGCACACCATGGACCCGGCTTCCAGCGGCTTACCTGTTTTTTTTTGAGTCAACCATCCAAGGGCTCGGGGCCCTCCAATGTCCTTCCATTTTCTTCAGAATATCAGACTATGCGGTACTTTTTGGTGGCTTTACCGGGAATCTATTACCATCTATTAGCACTGGAGTCTTGCTTTTCCAGAAAGGGACTGAAGCAAATGGAGGTGTCCAACAAACATCGTCATGTCGAGCCTAGAGCTTTCGAAAGCGCGTGGCGTATCCTTCTTTCCGCAATGGGTCGACCTCCTTGCTCGCTGGAGAAATGTCCAGGGGTGTCCCTTTTGGTGGCTTTCCCGCTAAAGATAGTCAACTCAAACAACAGGGTCCCCTTTCAGTTTGCAACTGGGATGGTAGAGTTGGGTGAAAGCACATGGCGCAAGTCTCTTTCGGGGTTTTGTCATCGCCTGTACTTTCCCACATAGAGGGAACTGTGCCATCTACTTTGATTCCTGGTGTAGGTTCCTGAGGATTACAGCAAGGTCTGGGTAAGCCTGTATCACCAGCTTAGAACCTTAGAACCAATGGAGCTTGGTCGTTGCTCTGTTTTCTTGAGACCTCCAGTGTAACTGCAGTTCGGCCGCAGTTTTGAGGGTGGTACCAAACGAAGGCGCCGATTCATGATATTGGCCTCGACCCTCCAAATGATGGCTTGGGTTTGGGGAGTGAAAGCGGGCGTTTTCGCACCAAAACGGCCAACACGCCAAGACCGGATCCTTCACCTTGCAAAAATGATGTCACAATCAAAACCCGGGTAGATGAAGGTTAGTAAGGGGCGATCCCAACCAGAAATAGCTGCGGCCGCCTTCTTAATTCTTGAAGCATGGTTCTGGGTCGACCATGTTTGTACCGGGTTTTGAGTGTGACTCAAATGATATCGCGGAAGTGGTGGACAAAATCCAGGCTCATTCTCAGACTCGACTCACGAACTCAGGCGCTGGTGGGCTCTCAGGTCTCCGAGACTCTGCGCGCGATGGCTTCCCAGAGCCAGGCGCACGGGGAGCTCGGCCATTCGACACCAAAACGCCTCAGCTGTTCTAGTTCCCCCAGCTAGGCTAGGTCCCTTCTCTCCTTTTTTTTGGTTGTGAGGGTTCCCCTACTGAGATAGACTACAGAAAAAAGGGTACCCTTATTCGAACCTCTCTACTGGAGGACCTAGTGTTCTTTACTGTTGTTGACATGTTTTTAGGCTTTGAGGTCGGGTCTTTGGTTCTGTTCATTTCTCGCAGGTTGCAGAAGCAGGCAGTTGTTTGCCACCAAGGGTTGACCTGAAATGGGGGCCTGGACCCTCAACATCATTTTGATGGGGTATTGCCACCCAAACCTATGGTTGGTGATTCATCCATTTTCCAGTTTGAGGGTCCAGGTATGCCGCAGGTTTTCGGACCGTGCTTCCGTGGGAGCTCGGGATCCCAGGCGGAAGTTCCGGCCTGGATGAGGTTGCAAGGGAAATATCGGGGCGGTGGTTGAGCCGTGCAACACCTTGCCCTTTTGGTCCTGCTTCGAATTTCCGGTTCAAGATGTGTTGCCCGACTCGCGTTTGGCCCCTTCGAAAATTCGCGTTTGGGGGGTGATGCTTTTCAAACCACCGCTTGGGGAATTTGTTGAGGATGCCACTTGGGCTCGTTTTGGCGCGTCCGGGTTTGGTCCAGCATTGGTCCAAGAAACCCGAAAACTCTCCAGTCGGGTTCAAGTGAGGCCTGGGGGTGGTTCCTTCAAGCCGTTTTTGGTGCTTTGAAGGGGAACCGGCACCCAAAGTGGTAGTTCCTTCGGCGTCCCTTTCAAAGCAACCTTGAAGAAACACCTATGGCTTGAACAAAAAAAGGTACTTTTTTTTTAAATTCAACCTGAAAAGGGTACCAACTCGAAGCTCGCTTCCTAAGTTCCTGGGCTTTAGTCACTTTCGGGTCTGGACCATTTTGGCAAACACAAAGTTCAGACTTTTGGCCCATCCACTCCAGACGTGAGGCAAGCAACACCACATCTCTAGGGGACACTTCCCCATTCTTAACCCAGGGATAGTTCTTTTCAGAAAAACCATCAGACATGTAGGGGAAACGGACCCGGTTTTTGAAAAGAACCATGGTTGAAAAGAATGGAAAAGGAATCAACCCCTGGAATATTGGGATAAACCACCTAGGGGTGACTTGTTTCAAAGACAACAAATAGGGGTGTCTTAGGACATCACCTCAGGGAACTTTGCCGGTCGACCACAAGCTGAAGCTCTCCACCAGGAGCGCAGCGCCTTTGTGGCCGCTCTTGCGGATCAGCAGAGGGCACCGGTGCAGGCCGTCGATTCGTGGAGACGCGCCCCCAGGGCGGTGGACGTTGGATGTAACCCTAGGAGCCCAAATATGAAGGCCTTTGACCCCCGAAGACCTGAAATAATGAGGTCTTGGGCCCCTAGGGTAAGTACAACCATTCCTATGAATCTCACTTTCCAGAAATTCCTGGCATTCATACTTTTTTGGCACCAACATGTTAGTGGCAAAAATAAATGTTTGGATTTTTTGTCGGCAAATCCACTCGGAAGTGAGTGAGTAATAGTGGGTGGTTCCCCTCCCAAAGTGAAGCCCCACTAAAAGGGGACACCCCCAATCAAAATCAACCGGGGGGTTATGTTTTTGTTCTCGGTTTCCACGATGCATGTGGGTTTCTCTCCAAGTAGACCACCTACAATTGGTGGCGTCTCGTGAAATTCCCTTTGGACGTCCCAAAGAACGGATTCCTCAAAAACAAGATGCATGGTGACCCGGTACTTCGGTACCTGCAGGCCAAACAGGTCCTTGCTAGTTCCAGACACGTAGCGGGGTGCCACGGGAGGGGTGGGGCCAAAATTCAAATCGACCAGCAACCAGGGTGCCGAAGTCGAGTTTGTTTCCCAAACGGGGGGGGCCTAGGATTTGGAGGTGGGGACGAAAGAATTCCCCCGTTCAACAGTTTTCTCAGTCTCGGAAACACCAATGTGGTCGTGTATGGTGTGCATGCAGCCCTCTTGTTTTTCTCTTCTTTTTTGTTTTTTCTTTTTCTTTTTTTTTCTTTCCGGAGGGGATTTCGATTTAACATCAAGAAGCAAAGAGCCAAAAGGCCCCCAACCATATTTTTGTCACGCCCCAGAGGAATTGTGAACTCCCCTTCTTGGTGCTTGGGCCATGGCCAAAGCTTGGACATCGCTTTGAGCCACCCGGGAAGTGAGATCAATCAAGTTTGGTCCCCGAACTGCGAGAGTTCGCTGTATGGCATCTGAAGCGTTTGAAGCTCGCTCGGGTTTGGTCCAAAAGACCCAATGTTGGTCCAACGGTTCCCGTCAGAGCAACCCTTCAACCACTCCAGTGCCAATTGCCCGCACGTGCTTGTTTTAGGGTACCCCTTTTTTTTCTTCCGGGTGAGTTCCCGCTGGAACCAACACGGGATCCGAGATGGGCCGAAAGAAGTCACGCGTCAAGGTCATGGCTGGGTTCAGCCAGGAAACAGTTGCCCTCCTCCGTGCCAAGGAACCCACCAGAGAAATGGTCGTCAAATCGTTTTCCAGGACCCCTTCGTCAGGTATATTTTTTGTGCGATCGAAGTCTGGTCCAGAAATTTCACATCTTGGCTGCCTCAATTGGCAGTTGCAAGGGATAAGCTTGGCACTTGTAGGGGTTGTTGACAACCCTGTAGTCGAACTCAGGCGCCCAAGTTGGATCCCCTTCACGTAGATTCATACAGCCATCATACAGATGTTGATGACACTCACCATCTACCCGAACTTCCTTTAGGCGTTGAACCATCAGGATGGTTGGCTTTATAAGATATTTTTCCCTTTGAAGCCATCCAACGGGGAGGTCTCTGAGTTGCAGAATACAAGTACAGAGCTGTCCGTCAAACTATTTGAGTGTTCGGCCCAGTTAGTAAGTTGTTGGTAACCTAGGTCTTAGCCCACGTATACGTCCCCGTCAATGGACCAGTAGGGTGCTATAACCCAAGTGGCTAACCACTTACTAGCTTGGGCGAACGTCCAAGTGATGACTCACATAGGGAGTTCGCACCGTGGCATGCAGGATCTCAGGCGGCACATGAGCCACAATGAGAACCCATGAAGGTTTTGGATTCCTTTGATGGTTCTGGGTAGACCGTTTTACTTGGCGGCTCCCAGCCATCCCCTTAGCTTTTCACCCTTTTGGTGTTGAAGGGGGACGTCCAGTTAATCCACTAAAAGTTAAACTTTTAGCGGGGGATCTGAGGGCAGCCCATTTTAACACCACATTTTGATTTGTGACTCACATTGGGGATTCCGGTGGCTGACAGGGGTTGGATGACTTGCCATGGGTCATAACCCACTTAGCTGACATGGGTAAGGATCATCCAAGTAGGGTGATAAGGATACCAACATGAAACCAAACACTCTTCTTTTTCTTGTTGCAGAACGGAACCACTACATGACAAGTATTTTTGAGCGAAAGCAGGCCAACCAAAACAAAATCCCAGCAAACGCATCCACAACCCATAGCGCAACGCCTTGTTCGCCCCCTAAGTGTTGGTTCTAAATGGGTGTGGCTCAAAATTAAAGAGCTGGAGTTACGCAGGTTTTAGTCTTTGCTTCCATTTACCCAGGAGCCATTTTGGGTATGTCTTTTTGAGCCACTGCCAAATGGAAGAAAACAACCTCCCAATTGGCGGCTAGTAGATGGGCCATCTCCCGGATGTTCTCCAGGAAGTTCGCCCAACTTTCTGGTTCTTTGGTGGGTAATGTTGACCCCATGTCAATAGACCAACCTGTTTATGAATAAGGGGGGTGTCCAACTGTCTTTGGTGGGGATTCATACCACTTTTGGAGGCACCCCCATATCAACAAACCGAGGTTGATTAATATGGGATCAACATTATTTGGCTAACGGAGCATTTCTACTAGACGGTCTTTTCGAAGTCGCACGCTCCGACCTCGTCGCAGATGCTACCCTTGTCCATCCCACCACCGGCGCCGCCCGCGCCGACGCCGCCAGCGCCGACGCCGCCGATCAAGGCGGGATCAGGAAACTCAGCGGCCGAGGTCAATGGGAACCTGGTATCTCAATGGAAACCCGGTCAATGGGAACCCGAGGCCAATGGGAACCATGGTTGATTAAGATGGGGTGCCCCCTTTTGCCGGGAATCTTGTACTCTTGGCGAGGCCTCTACTAGTAGGATGGGTTTGCTAAGGTGGGGTTCATACTTTGGGGTCTCGGACTGCTTCCTGTAAACTAGACGGGTGCGTCCCTAATCCCTAAAAGTGTCGTCGAATCAAAGTCGTGCCAAACCTGCGCGAAGGTGGGGAACACTGGCTGGCAAATGCCCATGCTTGACCATCCCCTTCTTTTGCATTTTCTTCCTGGTGTATCCCCCCTTGTATAGTTGCCTCGTCTCATTTGTATTCTGGTTGCCCCTTTTGACTCGTCCCCGTCTGTGTTTGGGGTGTCATGTTCCCATTTTGACCAGCAAGACTTGTTATTTAGCTTTCAGGTCGAAGTCTGGCCAGGTTTGATGCAACTTGGATCAGAGCCCCTAACGCTTTAAGGTTCTAACCCTTTCATCAGAGACTTTGGTCTTCTAACCGGGCTTCAACCATCAACTAGAAGGAGCTGATCTTTCAGCACCGGCCGGGGCAAGTGCGGAAGTCTTTCTTGTCCAGTGCGCTGAATGGAGGGGTTTGCGCAGCTTCCTCCTAGCCCACCGGTTCGGGAGTTCGCGGGAGAAAACAAGCTCTATGAAGGTCCCGTTGGGGATTCTATAGTCTATACAATACTTCATGCAGAATCTTCGCCGCCGAGTCTCCAGAAGTGACACCCCTATGGGGCTTTGGCGCGAAGCCTCAGCCTCAAGTTCTGTGGGGCTTGACCGGGAAGGGGCCTGGAGGTTGTGAATATAAATGTCCACCTACAATGAGGACCACTGTTTGAGAGCCAGTTTTGCGAGTTCTGATCATTTGCCCTACACTGGCCCTACACCTCGTGAAGCTTGGCCAGGTGTCAGATGCTTCTGCGCAGACGCAGGTCCGCGTGGGAAGGAATTTGACGGCAGCCGCTTAAATGGCCGGCGGGGGCAAATGGTAGGTAGTTGTGAACCCCAGTTTCAACTTCGGCCTTGCGCAGTAGAGAAGCGAAAAGCCAGACACCGACCGTATGCGGATGGGCAGGCACATGTGGGATCTGCGTGTTTTGTTCACGGTGCGCCGGATGCGCCACAACCTTGGCGAAACCGTCCAAGAACAGTGGGCCAATGCAGGGTTGTAGGAATGCGGGGTGGGTTTTCACTTCTGTGATACCCGGGAAGTTTCCCTGGAGCCAGGGAACCTCCCTTTCAATTTTGAGGCTTAGTTGATTTGTTCATGGCAAACCTGACTCAGCCAAATGAAATTATTCTTGCGCTCGGGGATTCTTGCCCAGGAGACAGGAGACTTGGTGATGTGTAGATAAGGGATCTAGCATGGCGACCTTATCTACCTGGCTTCTAACATAGGGGTTCTGCTTATGTTGTCATGGAGTTCAAGGGGGCTATGGGTAGGTCTTCACCAACGGAAAACAATGGACACCGCCAATTTTCGCTGCCTGGAGGTTTTCTGGAAGTAGCTTTGTGCCTCCAGACAGACTGCGCGCTCGGAGACGTCCTCTGTGGTTTTGTTGGGCGCCATGTTGATCTGGGGAAACACAAATTGGGGGTGTCTTTGTAAGGAATCGGAATTGCAGTGGTGGGTTTTGCTGGTGGTTTCCCTTGAGCACCGCAGAAAAAGGTCCAAAGAAAGAGACCCCTAAATCGACCACCAGTTGCTGGCTGCTTGATGCCTCGGTGGCTAGGAATCCCAGCATTGGGGGGTTTCATCCATCCAGCAACTCTGGATGGTTGCGACATCCAGAACGGCACCACCGTTCAGAAACCCTGGAAGGATTCGATTCCCCTGGAACAGTACTGCTATTGGGTTGGATCTTTAGACTTCAACTTTTTGGAGACCCCTCATATTTCCTTTCAACCTGCAAAAAGTTAAACCTTTTGCTGGAGGATCTACAGCACCCAAGGTAAATACCAGCAATAAAGGGTTTCCGATGGTTTCAAAGTGGTGCGAACGGATTTCGTCCTTGCACAGTATGATTGTGTCCATTCACAGCAGACAAGGAAAGCCACAATCAGACAGACAGAAGATTAAAGACCAACCCATGGGAGGGATTTGGCCGGTGCTCTTACTGGCCCTGAATAGTTACTAGTCACTAATTATTGGGTTGCAAGGCTTTTGTCTGAATCACTATATTTGACATATTAGGTGTTTCTCAAAATAGGGGTGCCCCTTTTGGATGGTAAGGGGACCATTTGGACGAGTTTGTCCCTAATCTTGACACTGAATTTCAGATTGGTCTTTCAAGTTTTGGCAGGATGACAAGAAGAAGGAGCACGAGGCGCTTTTTTCAGTTTTGCCATGGGCTGGGCGGAGTTGTCGGCGCAGTGAGCGATTTCGTCCGGCGGTTTGTATGGTTCTTTGTTTCCGCTCGCCTGGGGTCTCCTCGGGTGGACTATATGGCTATGAAACTCAAAGGGGAATCCCCTGAAAGTGGTTAATCCCCACCTAAATGACGTCCACCAAAGGGTGCCTAATTTATATTCATACCCAGATGATTGCCAGCATTTTAACTTTTATGCCTCCGATAACTTTTATGCCTCCGATGGCCCAGGAGACTCCTGAACCCTGGTATGGCGTCAGCATGACGTCACCTGGTAGCATGACGCCCCCTTGTTGGTAATTGCTTGTCAGAACTACATACTTTGCTGACACATGCTTCGGGAACCGGGAGTTGAGCTGGGAGTGGAGCCATTTTGGCTGAGAGTGTTGAGACCCTAGGGCTTGATTTTTTGGTGGGCTCGAAAAAGAGCCCATCCTTTGCAACCTGCCAAGTCCGGGTGGTGGTTGTGGTTGTGCTCTGCAAATCACGGCCTGGTAGCTTGCCGCACTCGCAATGAGCTTACCGATCCAGGGCTAAAACAAGCGGCTTCAGGCCACATAAAGGTACTTGCAGAGGCATTGCTTGATTTAGATGCCAGCTTAGGTAGCTAGCAAAGACGAGCCTTGAAATTGATTCGAGCTCCCAGACCCTGGTTGGCATTTTATAACAGAAATCATTTGTCTATTGATTACACCTAGACTTCTCTGTCTACGCGAAGGTGAGAGGAGAAGTACACAAAGACACGAAGACACACGCGCTGGAGTCGACGTGAATGAGGCATCCTGAAACATAAACAGAATCTGCCACAGAGAGAGGTACCCCAGGTGCATGCGCTGTATGGAGTTTCGGATCTCACGGGCCGAAAAAGTCAGTCTAACCAGAACCTAGGACACATTAATATAGGAGTGTCTCAAAATAGGACCACGAAACGAGTGGTTGCCTTTAGGGTCCGGGTCCAAACCACCCAGAAAAAAAGCGCGAGGAAACACACCCATCGCAAAAGAAATCACTCATATCTACCAAAATCTAATGGGTCAACAGACATCACTCATATTTATAAGAATCTAGTGGGTTTTCGTCGTTCTGTATTTTTGCTGAGCGACCTGAGTTGGCACTCCCGCCAAAACCCGCAGCCGTCGGCAAAACGAGCACTGTGCGCACCGCCCGACATGGCGCTCACGGAAGAAGAGGCCAAGGCCTTTTACGAGGACCCGCTGGGCACCTATTGCAACCCCTGTTCTCAACTTGTTTTTGGAGAAAGAGGACGCTCGAAGAGATCGGGCTTTTGGGCTTGAAACAGATGCAGATTAATCCCTTTTCATGGTTGTTGTTGGAAACCAATTTACATTTTTGCTTATTGTGGTTTAGTGGTTGAAATTCCTCACTCAACTGCTAACAATTAAATTGTTGCTCCCCTTTCAACGTCAACCAAGGGTGGGCCCCTTCAAAATGGATACCCAAAGGGGCATGGAAGTCCAGCGGAGGTCTGAGGGTAGGGTCACGGATTGTCATTCATGAGGCTTAGATGTTCAATCTGCCAAGGCCGCCCTCCCTTTCAGAAGTCCTCCTCGCCGCTAGGTTTATCTAGGTTTGGGATTCCATGGATTGGTCACTTGCGTGGTGTTAAAAAACGCGCCGACCTGGTAGCTGGATAGCAACCCGAGATAGAATCATTTCCGCGGGGTTGATTGACTGGGGCTCACCACCCGGGATTATATACTTGCCCCAATTGCCCATTGGTGCCCTTTTCTCCTTTTTTTTTGTGGGAAGGGTGTCCCTGTAAAGTCAACCCACCAAATAAGCAGGACCAGTGGGCATCTGGGTTACGGATTGTGTTAGCGCCCGTGGCTGGAACAGGTTTCACAAGGGGCGTATCCCAAGCCTCAGCCATAGGATGCCAAGACTTGAAGACTCCGAGGCGCCAGGGCAAGCCCTGGTAAAGGTTTTTTAGGATTCTCAATCCCTGAGTTTCCACCTGGATGTTCCATGACCCTTAAAAAATGGGGTTATTACCCAAAATAATGGGGTCATTAACCCATGTTTAAAGGGTTATGGAGAATATATGTGTTTGTGGGAATTGTTTGTGAACAGAAAGCATGGACTTTGTTTCTTTGTTTGGCCAGCCCAACCCAAACTGAATGTGCGTGAGCGCAATATGGCGGTAAAGCCATCCTCATGGACGATCTCACTTGAGCCCACTTGCTGAAAACCAGGGTAGGTAGGTTATTCAGGGAGAGTCCCAGCCATAAATACCGTGGTTACAAAATCCATGCCAGGGACGGATGAAGCCCGATTTGATTATTGGGAGAAACCGCCTACTAGTTGGTACAGGGCTTTGCCCATCTACAGGTGCGGATATCCGCCCCAAGCCAGCCCAGGTTTGATATCCTTGGGGCACACAGGGCTGGGCAAACAGGTTGAGTGAAACGATTCGAAGCAGCTCGCTGCGACCGATTTGCGAACGCTACCATGGACACCGAGAAGATGACTCAAGAGCAACGTGAAGTTTCCAGACTCCTTATAGACATTTGGGGTATGTGTCTTGGCCAATTTTCATGAATGAGAAAACTAATCTCGCCAATGGTCCCGGGTTTGGTTGAGAATTATTTCTGTGAATTGTTGCACGTTCAGCATTGTGAATCCTAAGATACCCATTTGCTCAACATAACAGTTACCAAAAGGAAACAAATCATTTGAGTATGTCTCGCAATTTGCTCCGGGGTTGCTCCGAGCGTTACAACCTGGGTAGAATTTTGATTCGGTTTGCTTGGCTTTCCTTTGGGTCTGTCTTATTTTTGAGGGCACCTTGTTTTTGTTTGTGCTTTAAAAGGGAAGCCAAGAATACTCCACCATTTGGGGGCGGGGAAAGAGACACACCTATGTTTGCCCATGGTTCTACCCTGACATCCAGACACAAGTGACGCTGAAGGCTTTGGGGTCTCTTCTTCGCAGTGGTTCGCAGCAGCTTTTTGTTGGGGATTCCACCTGGCCTTGTGGTGAGTTCCCCACTCAAAGTGGCGTCGAACACAAAAAACAGGTCCCCCTTTTTGTCAGGCCCTGTAGGTCCGGGTGATAGTTGAAGGGGAAAGAAAGCCACAGGACAACGACGGCGAGCCGGCGACCGCAGAGCAGATCAAGGAAGCAGAGGAGCCAACCGAAATCGGATTCGGACCCCTTTGGTTGGAACTTGGAACTTGGAAAGCAAGAGGAGCCAAGCCATTTCAGGTGACCGCGATTTTGAGAAAGCCCCACATGAGAAATACAAAGTACGAGAAGACACGGGGCCAAAGTCATGGCTGTGGCCTTGTCCATTTTTCAATCTGGGTGATACTGTCATGGGGACGGGCGGCCCACTTGATAACACAGAAACATGCCATGCCCCCCCCCCAAAACAAAAACAAAAAACCATGACTGTTACTGGGCAGGGGAGAACCCCAAGTCATGTCCCACCTTGGCTCAATGATTACAGTTATAGGTACCCCACAAGCCAACTCGGAGTGAGGCCCTTAGAGTCTCACAACGTGTCAGTTTTGTCGGGCGTCCATTTCGGGAGTTCAGGGGAGCCCCGAGGAATTCGCTCACGAAATGCGTAAAATCGAGACAACCCTGTGGCCAATCATTCGAATGCAGGGTTGTGAGATCAGGGGGTTTATCCCCACTTCTGTGATACAAGGGAATCTCCCCCTTTCTGCGGGAAGGTAGTTTTTGCGACGCCTTTTTGTTGTATCACAGAAGTGGTCATTTCCCACAGCCCTGTTCGAATGGGTTAGTGGGACACTTTTAGGAAATATGCCAGGTTCATGACAGTTCATGAGAGAGTAAGGTGTTAATGGGTTTGCCCCTTCCAGGCTCATGAGAGGGTTGCCAAAAACTGTTTCTTTCGGACCCCTTGTTGACACCGCTGTAAAAGAACCAATTGGCAGCGATCTTGGCGGGAAGGGGGCGGAAGCAGGGATCTGTGTGTGCGTGTGTGTCTTTACAGTATACCTTGCTTTCTATTCCTCTGCTTTTTTGGGCATTCGAGCATGCTTAGCAGCTCGTTTCCCCAAGGAAAAGGAAAGGGCATGGTCCCAAATTGGGACTCCATGTTGAAGAAATGTCAAGCAATGGGACCGCTCTGATTAATGAACCCGTGGTCAAATTTGATTGGGGATGTCGCTTGTTTTTGGGAATGTCGCTTTTACGCGTGACCCTTGTAGGATGCATTTACTGATCCAGGGTTTTCCAATGCGGCCTGGACCAGGGGGGTGTGCCACGGGTCCTGGCCGAAGGTTCCGAAGGCATTGGTCATGCCGATGGTAGGTTAACCAACCCCTGTTGTCCCGCTGAAACTGGCTGGGTGTAACCTACTTGAAGACTTGCTGGTTTCATGGTTCAGGTGTGTGCATTGTCAGAGATAGCGTTGAGCCCGCATCAGGCGGGTTATCCTAAGTGTCCAGCACTAGTGTTGGCTTTTGACCACCCGTGCTCGCTTTACTCAAAGCAAGCTCTGGGGCCTATCACCGTATCGCCATGCTCGTAAGTGAGAGCACAAGTTGCTTTGCTGTCCTATCGTTAAACGGTGTCCATTCTCACCCATCCTCTTTGCCTGGGTGTTGGGCCATTTGTCGAAGAAAAGGACCCCTAAACTGAATCGGGAGGATACTTCTACCATTTTGCTGCTCTTGACTAACACGATACTGAAGAAGCAGTTTAAATCCGTTGTTTGGGGTTGAGCATTGACCAAGTATGACTTAGGTTCTAAGCTACCACGGGTTGAGCATACTGTGGACGCATGCATTTCGGTGGTGTATCGACCAGTGTTCAATTCGGGCTTTATGGAAGCCAATTGGTGCCTGGCGTTGTTTTTGGTAACCATCCTCAAAGCTCAAAGACCCGTCGATTGCCATGGAAGGCAGGCTTTGCCTTTTGACAGTCTTTGTGAAACAAGCCTGCGGGATTTTTTTGAGCTGGGGATTCCCCTGTGCGGACATCACCTCTTGGATGCTTTTCTGAGTCATTCCCTGATTCCCTGCTAAGAACCGCCAATTAAACCGAGGAATTGCACTGAGCCCGCTACAATCAACAAAACCCACCAGGCTTCCCTGGGCGAATTTTCTGGCCTGCGCTCGGATCGGAGCAATACAGTAAAACGACCCCGTCCGGAGGGCTTCTATACAGATCTACGGGGATACCAAGATCGGCAGGGCGCAAATGACCAGCTCTCGCCTTTTTGGTTGTTTGGGATAAAACGAGACAAAGCTCAGTGGGGATCCTTGGTGCTCAGTGGGGATCCTTGGTTAAGGATTAGATAAATTTGCAGCCAGATATCAGGGAGCCGGGACAGACACACCAAAATGTGTGTAATTCTGGAAAGCCAAACAGGGTATTTGTGTCAACATGGAGCCATGGCGGTGTCCGTTGGTTTCCCAACAAAAAGCCAAGCTGAAAAGGGTAGTCTCAACAAAACACACACACACACACACACACACACACACACACACACACACACACACACACACACACACACACACACACGCACACACACTTGGAGACAGGCAAGCAAGAGCTGACATTGGGGGAGCAAGGTCACACCAGGGGGGAGGGCAGCTGAAAAAAAAGAAGCAAGAGCTCGTTTTTCGGCAAAGGAAGCCTTGGGTGCATGTTGCTTGGATGTCAGGACTTTAACTCTTTGCCAACGAGTTTGGGTTTTCCATTAAACCACTAAAAGTCAAACGTTTAGCAGGGGAGCAGAAAGCAAGCGAGAAGCCCTCAAGCTGTTGCAAGGAGAAGTTGAACCACAAGTTGCCGGAGGCGTACAAGACGCTGCCGCTCAGATTTTGGGTTCGGCCACAGGTTGGGTGTCTCTTCCGGACGGGGGACGTTGAAGCCCGTGAGGAGTGGGACTCCCTTTGGTGATTTTTTTTTTTTGGGGGGGGGGTGACGTGTTTTTGAGGAAACCCGTACCCGTTTGTGTGGTTTTAAGCTGAAAATACAGGGAAGACCGGCATATCGGGGCTAGCAAAAGGGAAGACGCACCCATTTCTCGTCGCAGGTTGGTGAATGATTACAGTTTGTCGCAGGTTGGGCTTTTGCTAACCTAAAAAAGGGAGTGGATCAAAGGGCACCGCACCCCTGCTCAGGACCCCTTGTGCATTCATTGGGTGGTTCTTTTGTTTGGTCGCCTTTCTGGGGTTAAGCCGAGAAGAAAGCCCGCTTGCCCCTTTTTTGGGGGGTCCCATTTGAGACAATTTGCTATATTTGAGACAACTTTTTGGGGCCCATTTGAGACAAATTTTAGGGGGGACCCGAATTTGCCATGGTCAGACTCATTTTCTTGGGATGCTCATAAGCTCCTTGGCAGTTTTAGACCCCACGCGAGGTTGCGTTCCAATTGTGGATGGACGCAATCCACAAACCGCACCAGCTGGATTTCGGTGGTTTAGCCCAATATTTGTAGGGTTTCGTCACTATGAAGGGAACCATGATCATGAGCCACAGGAGCTTTCACTAGGTTGTTGTCGACATCTTCAGCTTTGTATCCACTGAGTCTGCCCAGTTCATTGGATCTTGCGAGTTTTCGGTTGAACCCATGTGAGGAATCCACATAAAACCCACCAAGGGAGATGTATAGGAAACTTTGTTGGTTTGGATTGACCTCAAATTGAGGTTAGCCTCTTGAATTCGGTTGGGGATTCGTTTCATGGGAGATGCACGGAAAATCACAAACAAGTGCACGGGGATGGAAGGTCATGTTCTTGGTGGTTGCCAACGATTCCCTTATCATTATTTTAAATAATATTGCTTTAGGTTTTTGGTTGGTTTACTGCCATTGAATCCACAAGTTCAGCTTTCAACAGGGGATCAATTTGGACAGCCCAGTGTTGTGACCTTGCATACATATTCTTTGTCAGGGAGAGAATCTCCCCCCTCCTGGTCCCTTGGCAAATCAGCATCCCTTGTGATTTCCTTAGGGCATGTTGATTCCCAAAACAATTCTGAGAACCAGAGCTAGCAAGTTGTGACGCAGAAAGAGCGATCATTGGCGCCCTGACAGTTCCCAGGGCTGGGATTCTTGGCCAAGATGAAACACCGGGATCCTAGCTCCCTGCCCCCCCCCTTGTCGACAAATTCCCCGCCAGCTCAATGCCCTCCAGTTCGCATCTGGTGCTTCTCAGAGAACCAATTGTCGACAGCTCTTCGCGTCTCTCTTTGCGCTTTTTGAGTCTTTGAGCCTTGTGGATGGTTGCCAAATCCAACGGCATCCATTTGTGGAAGCCCGATTTGAATACTTGTCGGTACCAAGAATCCCACAAAGGTGAGAATATGCTCAGACCGTGGTAGCTTATAACCCAAGTCATACTCGGACACCACTCAGCTCTAAATTCGGGATATGATGGTTTCCACCACCATCTTAGCAAGCACCAAAGAGCTATCCTCCCCATTCAGTTCAGGGATTCGTCTCGACAAATTTCCCACCCAGGGGAAGACAAGGACGGGCTAGAATGGAAAGCTTTTGAGTAGAAACGCCCAGGACAACCAACCAACTTTTCCGCTCAGTGTCTGAGGGTTTCTTTTTTGGTGCGGGTTTTTTCCATTCACAGTATGACCATGGTGATACAAAGCTTGCTTTGAGACCCAGCAGAGGCTAAGAGAATAGGCCAGGCCACCCAAGGCTCGTGCTTCATATTGAGGCCCGTGCCAAGGATAACCCACAAGCGGGAATGCGCTCTGTCCAATGCAACCACCTGACGCACGAAATCCCTACCTGGACGTTCAATCCAGCTAGTAGGTTACAACCTCGACGGCTATTGGGTTGGGTCTTTAGACTTTAACTTTTTGGGGAATAAAGGTGTTTTCCACTTAACCCCCAAAAAAGTTAAGCTTTTTGCAGGGGGGTCAACAGCAACCAAGCAACCAGCGATATAAGTGCTTGGGCGAGGACCCGTGACACACGCAAAAGGTCAATGTGTTTGCGTTAGATCCATCAGATCTGCTGCTTCATACTGGGAGCATCGGATTTATAAACGCAGCCTACTAGATTCACGCACAAAAGTGAAGGAGCCCCACTACTGAAAACGACACCTCCCCAACTGTGGATGGATGGACGAAGTCCATTTCGCACCACCTAAGAAACGCCGAAATGATGATTCCCCTTTAAATCCCAACAAACCCATGGGCGTTCATTTCGTGCTGTGAAAGGATCGCGCAATCCACAGTATTACTCGACCAGTTCAGAAAAAGTCAGGCTCACTCCCCGAATTTGTTTTTTTTAGGTTTGGAGCATTTTAGTGGTCAAGAAGAAGTTCGGCGACTTTTTCTGGCTCCAATCCACTCGATCGGAAGTGAGCAGGTCTTCCGGATTCCGCATCCGGTCCCATAAACATGGAATTGGGGGAGGGGGATTTCGAAAGATCTCAATTTACGGCAACCAATTTTCCCCTTGGTGGGGAACTAGGTCCCCCAGCTAGGTGCCCTTTCTCACCACTTTTTTGGTTGGGAGGGTTCCCCTACTAAAATAGACTACAGAAAGCAGTTGGTACCAACTTATTCTAGCCTCAAATCTGGAGGACCTAGCCCTGTCAATGGTAAAATTTCGAAGTTCCAGGACTTGTTGCTTTTTAGGGGATCTGAGGGCAGCCCAGCCAAATTTTCCCCTGGACTAGATCAATTCACTTGGGCCCCGGGCCCCGGATGATGCGCTTCGCGCCAATCGAGGCTGGCAGTGAAGAACGGTGGCCGGCCCAGCAAGAGCTGCGCGCCCACCAAGTCAGGCACCTCCTGGGCTCAGGACCTCGGCCGAAGGCCGTTTTTTTTTCTCCCTTTTTTTATAATCAAATTCCAGGTCTGATGGGTGGATTAATTCTCAGGTCTGAAGGGTGGTCGGAAAATCGAAAGGTCCCTTTTTGTTATACATGGGTGGAAGGGCTTCATCCAGTTTTGATGAGATTTAGGATACAAATTATTGATTCCCATTCAGCCAGGCCGACCAGCTTGGGCTTCAGCAAAGCCATGCTCAGGTTTTTTTAAAGGTCCTTTAAATATATGGGATGGCCAGTGGAGAAGGGAAACCACTAAGATGATATGTTCCACATGAAACCAGGGGCCAGGAATTTGATCCCAAATGCAAGCGAGGCTTTGGCTGTGTGTTCTTTTGGTGAACTCTGGTGGTGTTCTCTCTGCAGGTTGGGCGCCTTCAAGAGCAAGGGGCCAAAAGAACACTGCTCTCATTTTTGGGGGTACCGCCAGTTGGACACATAAATATGGGTGTGTCTTTCTTTGAGGGGACCGTTTTGGGGGTTGGTTTCAAAGGAAACCAAAAGGAAAACCACAATTTTTCGGGGGTCCCCTGTTTTAAGACACACCCATATCCTTTTGTTGGGGTCCTTTCAAAATCTTAAGTTGTGACAAACGAGGTTCGTCCTTTCACTAGCGACCCGCGAATATGTCCAAGCATGTCCAAGCTACACCCATCCTAGGGTCTGTCTCAAAATAGGGACCAGGACACCAACCAGTGTTCGGGTCCCCATGTTTGAGAGGGATGGTATTTTTTAGCAGATGCCAGGCCCCCCCCCCCCCCCACGTAGCACCCAACCTTGAAGTGAGGGTTCGCCCTTTGCACCTTCTTTCAACAAATGAAGTGGGCAGGGGAAAAGGGCAGATGGAGAAAAAGTAAGACACAGACCAATGAGAAGTGGCCCTTAGTTGTTCGATATTTGTTTGTGGTTGCAGGTGGTTCCCTAAGTTGTGACGAAAGAGGGCGTGTTGTTTTCCCAACAGCTGACAGCTCTGGGGCCTCTGAACAATTTGGCTCTGGTTGGCGGCTTGGAGATTTCCGGTGTATGCTCGCTGAGAAAGTTGCTCGGTTTTTCCATGTTGGTTTCCGGGGTTGCAGGAAACCCAAGTCCCTGCCTCGAGAACACTTTTTGCCATGTCGCCGTGGGTCACCGTTTGGGATCCCATTTTGGTTGGGATTGGTGAATTTACCACCCATTTTAGGCTTCCTATTTTAGTGGTTGGATTGGTTGATGTTCACTGGGGGTACGATTTGGGTTTTGACCCATAGCCATGTTGTGGTTTCTTCATGTCCCATCTAGCAGGACCATGTGGCGATCGAGGAGCTGCTAGCCGTGCAAGAGATTGCCGGTGAGACGGCGGATTACGTCAGTGCCCGGATGGAATTTGCTGGCTGGGCCAAGAGACATATCTCCAAACGGAACAACCGGGAAATGTGTCGTTTGCCTTGGTTTCCCGCAAAAACAGGGTATCCCCAAGACACACCCATATTTGTTTCGAAGCTATTTGAAACATCGGGTACATTTCTCAATGTGGGGAAGAGATTAGACACCATCAAAGACACAGCCCTGGCAATCCCCTTTGCAAGTCCCTTTCGAGTAGGAGATTTCAACCATGGGCCGTTTTGGGTCGCCATGTTTGACGGTCTGCCGAGTGACTTGTTGCCGAAAAGTGATACTGTGGACGGACGAAATCCTGCACCATTCCTGCACCACATAAGCAACCCTGGAATTATGATTCCACTGCGAATACCAACAAATGGTTTCAACTGTGGTTTCAAAGTGGTATGACATGGATATTGTCCATCATGTCCAACCACAGTATCAAATTTAGGTTGCCTTGCGCTCGAGCCGTTTCGGGTTGCCATGTGGCTGTGGCTCAAAAAGCCGGAATTCCAACCTGGAACCCGGTTAAGTGGACACATGGACCAAAACCCGCGGTTCGCCCGCGAAAAAAAATCGAGCCACGACAAATTTCGACGAAAATTTCGAGGTGAATCGACGTGTCTTCCATTTCGTGGGCCCTCGGTTTAGGACAAACAGAGCCATGGCAGGGCTCCTTAAAATAAATATCCATGCAACCATTTGAAACATGTGGCTTTTTCAACACCGAAATAAAGTTGGACACCAGAAGACAAGTTGCGATGTTCAGGTGTACAATGTAAGGATTCCTGTTTAATGCACGTTTGTCTTTTGTCACCCGGTTCGACTCGAAGGCGAGTGGGAGTACCCAGAGATCGGCTTGGTTATCGGGAGCTGCCCTTCTGGAGGCAGGGGGAGTGGTCGGGTCAACATCCCTAGGTCAGCTAGATGGCTTTGACCATAGGTGTCCTTTTTAGGTTAGTGTGGTCAAAAATAGAAGGCAGTGGTTTAGATGGGTGTTATTCCATTTACCAGGGCCATCTATTTTTCCAAAGGACACCTAGCCTTTGACCAGCTTTTTTGGTTGGGAGGCTTCCCCTACGAACACAGACCGAAAACAAGTTGGTACCGACTTATTCTAGCCTCTCTACAGGACCTAGATCCAGACACCTGGGGGGCCATATTTCCCTGCCCTTTTGGAAGAAATGTCTAGCGCTCCATCAACCCTTCGGGGTGCCATGGAATCCTACGCTATGGGATTGGGGACCCCTTCACCCCGGGGTCAGGTTCACCAGTTCGTTTCTGCCATTCTGGAGTTTCCCCAGGTTTTTAATTCCATGTGGCTTCTCCTTTTTGAGTGCGGAACAAAAAGAATAGTTAGGGGTCCAAACAGTAACTTCGCCCCGGTTTGATTTGAGGGTGTCGCAAGTTTGAGCGGGCGTCAGATCCGAGGGCGTCAGTTCCGTGCATCGTCTCCAGTATTGTCATAGCCGAAGGGGAGCCATCCTAGGTTTTTGCAGTGCTCTGTTACCGTTTCTTGGTTGGGAGAGGGTTCCTCTACGAAAAAAGTTGGCACCAACTGATTCTAGCCTCTCAAATCTGGAGGACCGGAAATCATCTGGAGGCCTCCCCGGAAATGGGCCCAAAGGCCGCACATCAGGTTTTTCGTCTGCTTGGATGTTCGATTTGCCAAGTGAGTAGTTAAGTGGTTGGCCGACCCACGAATAACAGGGTCAATTCCACTGAATGGGGGACGTATGAGTGGGTTTGAACCTAGGGTTACAAACAACTTACTAACTTGGCGAATCGAACACCCAAGTAGCTGTCGCCTTTCTATTGCTCTTTCGTCACTCCTCACAGCGATAGCCACGGTAACCTGGGATCAAGTCCAGTTTATTAACAGGGGTGTCCAACTGGGTTTAGTGGGAAATCATGGGGAACACCCCCCTATCAATAAACAGGGGTTGATTAATATAGTCAATATTATCCGGCTGTCGCGCTTTTGGACTCTCGGGATAGTGGCTAAGCACGGATCCGCTCGATCCCAGCGAATGCATCGCGCGACTCGGATTACTCTTGGCCACCCAACCCGAAATCCACCAGGTTGATCTACCCCGAAGCTAAGGGGGCACCTTTGCATGTACGACTTTTTCCCAAGAGGCTAAATCTTGGTTGTTGTTGGGAAACATTTTACATTTTGCTTACTGTGGTTTAGTGGGAAATCCCCACTTGGCTGCTCAAATTTAAATCATTTTAAATCTTTGCTCCCTTCCAAAGTCAACCAAGAAATCATCATTATGTGAATCATTGTCCCCCAACCTTATTCTACCAATGATTGACTCCACACCCTTTATAATTTATCGGTATCACCAGCGGACAATATTAAACGAGTGCGAACAGAGTGCAACAGGTGGAATCCAGTTGCATCCAAAATTGGTATGCCTCAAAATGAGGGAACCCCAAAATGGGTGGTTTCCTTTGGCGTTCCTTCATACCAACCCCAAAACGGGTACCCTCAAAAACAGACAGGCTCAATGCGGTCTAGATATCTCCCTCTGGCAGCGTGGAAAATCCTGCGGTGGCAACAGCAAATGAGAGCGAAGAGGGACTGGAAAAGAGGCGCCATTGAATTCTATGAGAATTGACAACGCATGGTATTTGTTTGTTGCAGGTTGTTCTACGGTGGTGCCCTGATTGCACCAAGCGGACCTGTTGCCTTAAGACATACCCAGCGCCGTGTTCCCTTACAGGTGATTGGACGATCGGAGTCGACCGTGTTGGCGTTCAGGCCATGACCTTATCTGGCTGGACTATCGGAAGTGCGGACCGCAGGCGCTTGGGTCAGTCAGGGGTCCTTAGATGTGTCAGGGATTCCAAAAGAAGCTTAGAGGACCATTTTAAGTCAGGCAACCCTTACTTGACGGCTTGGGGATTCGCACCCATGGTTAGAAGCTTTCCGGACGATTTCAAGTCAGGCAGTGGCGGTTTGGGGATTTGACCCCCCGGCCTGACCAGCTTGGCCTGTTGACCAAACCTTGCGGGTTGCACCAAGTGCCTGGAAATACCATCAAGTCGGCTTCCATTTTGCACTCAAGATGGATTTTCCCCTGGTTTGAACGGGAAACTACCACTGCTGTGGCAACCAAGTTGCTGGGCAGGTTGCGGGGTACCAGATCGAGCGGGAAGCGAAACACATTTGAGTTGTGTTTTGTCTTCTGGTGCCCCTTCTTTGGTGGGTTTGAAGGGACACCAAAGGAAACAAAACACCCACAATTCCCTCAAAAAAATGCAAACCCAGTTCAGGCCCTGTTTTAGCGCTCAAGCTCTTATGCTAGTTGTTATGGCAACAAGGTCCAGTCCGCTGGTTTTTCATGAGAAGCCAGACCTACTTTCGGCTTGGGCTTCAAAGTTGTTGGCACTCCTTCATTCCCTTGCCCACAAGTCATGCACGGAAAGGGGGGCGAGGCATACATGTTTGCAGTGGGAATACTGTACGGAGGGAGCTTAACCCCTTGTTTGTCCCGATTCGGGATTTCCAAAAAGATGGGCATGGTTGATACACGTTCTAGTTTGGTGTTTGTTTGCTTTTGTTATGAATAAATAGCTGAACAATGATAATGAATCGTAGCCTTGAACCAGAGTATATTTCAAAACTAGTTTACATTGAATGAAACAAGTCCACAAAGTGCCGGGCCTTGATCCATCCCCACTGCAGCATGTTGTCCATCTACGGGTGGCCCTGATTGTTGCAATGCAAGGGAACGAGGAATCCCAGAGTGAGTGAGCTATGTGTATGTATACATTAATATATATATATATATATATACATATGCTTGTTTTGTTCAAAGGGGGACCGGGTTTCACCAATCTTGAACCGGTGTCCCGTTCTATTCTCAACCAATCTGCAAATCGAGCATTTGGATATGAATTTAATGTTGGAACTGGACACCCCCAGATGTGATTTGTTCCCATTTGAGTCTTGTCTACATCACATCGCTAAAAATGGCGCTGAATGATTCAAGGGCATGTGGAAAACTTCCCGGACTCGGCAAACCAAATCCGAAGCCATCCGGGATGCGCTCTTCGCGTAGGGCGAGCCGTTGGTGGTGCACGTCGACCAGGAATTTGTCCCTTGGACCATTTGTTTCCAGGGGGGTCGGAAAGTCGTGCGGAGTGGACCGATGCCTGTCCCGGTTACCATGGCCGCCCACTGAGTTTGAGCATAGTGGGTCTGCCTATTTTAAGGTTGGTCTTGGTCCCAAAGTGATGATTCTCCTGCCCTTGCTGCTTAGGGGGTTGCCTAAAGAACAGGACTGGGGTGGACTTAGGATACATTTTACATTTTACCAGAGATTCAAAGTGAAGTAAACAATAAAATATACATTTTATAACTGGGCCTAACTCTAATCATGAGGAACCACAGCCTATGGTGAGTTTGAACATCCAGAGAGCAGGGGGTCCCAAAGGTTGTCACTCAATCTGCAATGGATCTTTTCGGTTTCGATGGGTTCTCAAGTGGATTTTCCCAATTGGAACACCTCTGCCAGGTCTGGTTTCAAGGTCCAATTTGGGGGCCGCAGAAAAAAGCGTCGGCTTGTCCATGGGCAACCTGTTTTGGTGATCCAGGCGATCGATTTTTGAGCCACATGTTTCGAAGGAGTTCGAAGGGTATTGCCAGACTGGTCGCTTTGACCAAACTTTTTTTGCCGATCTCCCACTGTGTTTCGGAAAGATGCGGGAAGCAAAGTATGTTCGCTTCATGGGTTCCCCACTGCAAAATGTGACCAATCCCAAAATGGGCTCCAAGTTTCTGGGGAAAGTGGGATTTCCGACAGGTTTGGAGCATTGACCGGGTTGTTATGCTCCGTTTTCATTTGCTATTCTTTTCCCCCAACATCGACCTCGCAGCTATCGCCTTGGTTTCGGCAAACCACTGACGTCAGCTTCCTTCCAATTGGTTGGGCTGGAGGGGAGGTGTTTCGGGGGGGTTTCCCATGTCACAAGAACCAGAGCTTCAGATGCAATTCCGGCCATGAATCCAGACCACCAGTTGAGTGTTACCTGGGTGTGCATTTTATACGAAAACCTTTATATCCAAAAAAAAACATTCCCTTCAAGTCTTCGTGCGTGCCTTGCGCGGTTTACTTCAGGTTTTGGAGAATTGGATTTGATCCAAAATTGGTTGAATCAAAACATTCCCTAGACAACTGCCTGGTTCTCTAAATCAGGGTTTCCTCCATCTCTCCCTTTTTGGAACCTCCACTAGGTCCCCCAGTAGCGCCCTTTTACCCTTTTTAGGGGGAAGGCCTACTAAAATAGACTACAGAAAAAAGTTGGTACCCTATTTTAACCTCTCTACTGGAGGACCTAGTCCATTTGCTGGCGTGTTTTCTTTTTGTAATGGACACCGGTAGATTGCAGCGGACATCAGGAAATCCTCGCATCGGAGCCAAGGACTTTAAGGTGACCCACTTGGCAGATGACTTTGCTTCCTTTGTGCGGAACTTGAAGTCGGAGGCGCGGTTCCAATGAAAGAACAGAAACCAGAGGTGCCTTTTTTTGCCAAGGGATGTTCGGACTGGATAACTTTTCGCCAACTAAGGGGTTTTCCGTATTAAACCACTAAAAGTTAAACTTTCAGCAGGGGAGCAGAAAGCTACCGAGACCAGGTGTCCGGACCCTCCACGTTGTGCGACAGGGAATGACCCATGTTTTGTTGCTTTTTGAATGAACCGAAACCACCAGTTGGAGGCTTTTTCTTGGGGTAATTCCAGTCCATTTCTCATTCCCTGCCTATCGCACGAGCAAGTCAAACTACCCTTACACATCGTGCGTATTGTCAACCACAATAAACGGAAACCAAGAAGGACGTCTTTTTGGGGCTTCTCCTCCTCCTAAAAAAAGACACTCACCATCGCACCAAATGTCAGCTCATGCGGACAAATCCCTGATGTGACGCTCACAAAAAAATGTCAGCCACTGTTAGGCCGAAACCACATAGGCCGGGGTGTTTTGTTATAAAAAAAAAAAGTGGTCTAGGGTATCCTTTTTTGGGGGTCTTTTTTTCCCTGGGGTTCCCAAAAGAAAACAGAGTTCTTTGTGAACCCAGGGGACACCCCTCTCCCCCAATGAATCGACTAGGGGATATTCCCAGGACCGATTCCCTGAATCCCAGGGGCGCAAAACGCGAGTGGAGGCTATTGCTGTGTTTTTTCTCTTTTTTTTGGGGGGGGGTGCCTGACAGTGAGGGTCACTGTCAGCATGTGTGTGTGTGTATTTTGTGTTTTGTTTGGTGTTTGGCTTGTTGGGTGCTTGGTGTTTGGTGTTTGGTTCGTTTGGCGTTTGGCTCTATTCATGTTTTGTGGGTGGCTGCAAAAAACGAGGTTTTGCCTTGGCTTTGCGGCCGCAAGTGCCCCACGCCTAAGGGAGATGCCGTTCCACCACCGAATGGTGTTGGCCTTCCCAGTGTGATGGGGAGTAGCCCCATCTGTGGTTCAATCTTTCATGCACCAGCGGCAGGTTCTCAATAAAAGGGGGATCTAAGGCCCCCTCCAAAAGTGGTCTGATTCCCCACTAGAACCAGGGACCCCTTAGTGAAGGACTGAGAGGTGATCACCAGACAAAGACCCCAACCTCTATTTCGATAATACTGATACACACATGCCCGACAGGGATTGAGAGGGAGGGAGGGAGGGAGGGAGGGAGGGAGGGAGGGAGGGAGGGAGGGAGGGAGGGAGAGGGAGGGAGAGATTTGGTTTCTTTGCTCATTCCCTTCACCCATCCTTTGCAAACCCCCGAATCCCTTGGGTTTTGGAAAGGCCATTTTCCGAGAAGGATCCCTGAGAAGAATCACCTTGCCCCATTTTTGCGTGGGTTTCGCAGATTAGGTGCACGGCTCAACCAGGGGTTCAACCCCAAACCACCCAGAATCCGGACCTTGAGTCTCCATGACCCCGAAAACATGGGGTCATTACCCAAAATTCAGGGGTCATGGACCCATTTTTTCAGGGTCAGCAGGAGACTCCAGGCCTGGTTGTTGTTGGGAAACATTTCGCATTTTTGCTGATTGTGGTTTAGTGGGAAACCCCCACTTAACTGCTAAAACTTTAATGTTTGCTCCCCTTCCAACGTCAACCAAGCAGGGAGCGGCAAAGGGCAAGTTCGACGCTTGACCCAAAAATGCCCACATCGCGCAAGGAGGAGTTTGATCCCGAGGGCCCGGAGAAGAAAGCCAAGACCGGCGAGGAGGGCGAAGGCGCCGGGGACTTTCCAGATGAAGCTGGGTCCATACGGGTATGGGTCAAAATTAAACCACCAGGATATGATATGGACCCAGGTTTTGGTCCATGGTTCCGTTTACCAGGGTTTCATTTTGGGGTTACCCTATTTTTGACCCACAGCCAGAACAATATCGGGGCAAATGGGAATGAGCTCATTCGGGGGTTGAAGGAGTGAACACCCATGAAGGGTCCTTTTGGGGTCAAGTCATGTCCGGCTTGGGAATCGAGCAGTTCGCAACCAGGTAGATGAGGATGTGTGGAACCCACTTAAAAGGGTTTACAAGACAAAGTTGGGGCGGGGGTCGCGGTTTTGGTTGAGAGTTTGGGGTGAATGGGGGTGACGCAAAAAGCTTTAAGCACACCGTCGAAGCGTTTTCAGGGTTTGTCTCAAAATGGGCCTCAGGCGCCCTTTTCCAAGACATGTTTAGACTGGTTTCAGCCGAGTCAAATTGGACACCTGCTGCTTTTATGCGCAGGGTCCGAGACACTCCTCAAAAACACCTGCTTTCAGGCAACCCGCAATAGGTGTTTTGGATTGGCTTGGGGATTTGAAGCCTTGGTTCTTGTAGATGGCAGCTGGGAAACTCCTCCCTAGCCTCCAAACCAATTGACGGGAACCTGATCCTTAGAGCGAGCTTCCTTCACGCCAGTTAAAGGGTTGCGGGAGTTTCACTGGAATGAATCCAATGGAGGCGACGCACCCGAGGCGGGTTCAGAAGATATCGTCGTAAATGGTTTGCCCTTGAGGTGTGAAACGGATATATGTATGGGGTACCTTCCAAGACTAGTCTATATTTGTTTGGGGTCGACAACACATGAACGGTCATCAAAAAGATATGCTTTTCCGTGTACCTCGGATGTGGGGTGCAAGTTCCATCGATCCAACCTTCAGGGTGGAGATGGCGCTGTTGTGGCCGCCAGCGTCAAAGCACTCGTTGATTCAGCTGGCAAAGTTCAGCGAAAAGAAGCAGGGACCGGCGCAGACGCGAAGGTTTTCTGGATCTCCTCCAAAAGTGTTTGACATTTTGGGGTTGACTTAGGCAAATATGTACTTGGAGTATCCAAGCAAGGTTTGAGCTCAGACAATTTGAGCAGACACAACATACTGGTTGTCTTTTGCCAGTGGGAGGACATTGTCCTCCTGAACACAAGTACGTTTGGCGTGTGCGTGTGTGTGCGCGCTGCTCATTTGGGGTCAACTTCAGGCACCTTTTGCTTGCCTGCGCCTGTTTCCTGCTTTCTATTTCTAAAATGTTTGTCCTGGGAATGTTTCCAAATGTGCAGTGGTCAAAACGCCCGCTTGCTTGGGGTTACTTTTGCCTAGGCTCGTTAGGGCGCCATGCACGAAAATTGGAGTTTTGACCCTTGCACATATGCGGTCCCTTTTTCAACCCAGTACCACAAGCCTCAAAAACCAATGAAAATGTCATACCTACAAAAAGCAATGTTTCTAGTCAGGGTACGACATGTTTACAGGCTCTTGAAGCCTTAGGTAGTTGTCCTCGTGTCAGATGAGCACCGCCCCCCGCTTTGACCGCGGGGTTTCCGCTGGTTCATTGGGATCACTCCGTGAGTTCCTGGGCATCGTGGGACCGTGGCAAGCCAGTTTGGACTGTTTTTGGTCAACCCACTCCGGAAGCAAGAGTGGGTGCTTTTTTTTGGATGGTGCTCATGTTGCAGTACCCACAATGTGGTTCAAGCAGCCTGTTTCGCGACATGGGTACCAGCTTAAACCCACCAATGAGTGGGCGCTGCGCAGATGATTTCGGGTATCACCTGATACGTGATGAAACAAAATAATATTGTCTGGGTGCTTAATAGCCCTTTTGTCCCAAACTCGCGGACCCCCGATTGCGCAGGAAGTTGAGGTCGGATGTTCCCAAAGCTTTTACTGGGGTGGCCGGACATACCACGGGCTTACTTGATCATTTGAGTGGGTTCAACCAGCAGATATTTTACAGCCACCCTGCCCAAAGAGGGTCGAATCAGCTTGTTTAGGGTGCACTTTCGACTTCAGGGTAAGTAATGGGTGCTTATTTTAGGGTGTTGATTTTTAGGGTGCACCTTCCCCCCCATGTTTCAGGAGACATGTTATTTCCCAGTGGGCTTCGATTTGATCTCTTTGCGTGCTCAGGGGAGGAGGATGAGTGAGGCTTAAGATGGACGGCTATGTCGGCTAGACTTGGGTTGTCCAAAGGCAATCCTTCCCTTGTATGGCGCCAGCGGGACCACCTTGTCATGTTTACAGCAGGTTACGATTGAAGCCGGGGGGGCCTCCTCCTTTGCGCACTCCAGGCTTACGCAAGTGGTGCCCTTTGTACTGGCATCATTATTTTACCATGATCAAAGTCACCCCTGTTCAGTGGTGGGTTACAGGGAAACAACCACATTTTCGGATTTTTGGTAACCACCTGAAACCGGCAAAATAATGACCCCAGTTGTAGTGGCTTCTCTATAGGGATTATGGATTTGGATTGGCCAACCCTCCATTTTGAACAGAGACTTTGCTGGCCGTTTTATCTTGTTGTGTTTTTGGTGTTCCATCATTTTACCTTTCAACTGCACAAAGTTCAACTATTTGCAGGGGGTTTAAGTGTAGTCAAGCTATGTCCGTCGGGCAACCTTTGGATTGATCTTGTCAACTGGAGTTTCGTTGACTTCACACTTCTGCTCTTGCCTTTTTAAGCGGCTTATAAGACGAGTTCAAGGGCCCCGATTCAATGAGCTGCTGTGTCCGGTTGGGAGAAGACAGTTCAGGTACCCGAAGAGTGGGGTATGGTTTTTTCTGAATGCGACTGAGAGGAAGGCTATCAGAAGGAGCTTTGGTGTACCCAGGCAAACCGATTTAGGGTTAGAGTTTCTTGAAGTCATTGAACAATTGAAAGCTTTGATTGTCAGTTGAACCAGTTCAAGTCTTGGGCGCCGAAGCGCTCACCAAGTGTGTGAAGGGTCGGACTGGTCTCTATGATATCCCGCTGGGCAGCACAGGTGAATGATTATAAATACCGGAGGGCCTTTTCGTGCCATCCGCGCACGACGCGGGGTGTACAAAAAATCCCAGACCCGATTCGGACCAAAAGGTGCGCGTGGGGGTTGAATCATTGGCCCGTTTGGCGAGGGAATGCCGAAACAGGGATTCCAATTGAGCCCCAAAACCCCATACGGGCCGTTTTGCTAGGTGGTTCTACGTTGAGTCATGGGGAATAAGATGGAATGAATTCTCAACCGTCGGGGACCTGTTCGGATACATTCTTGTTGTGGTTTTTTCTCCTTTTTTGCTGAGAAAGCTGGACCCCACAAAATGAGCGGTTCTCTTTGGTTTCCCTCAAGCCATCCACAAAAACGGCTCGATGTCCACATTCGGACATCCCTCCGTTCTCAATAAATATATATATATATATATATGTATATACCTTGTACATCAAGAACCCGGAAAAAAGGAGGTTCTGGCAAATAACCTGCTTTTTCGAATCCAAAGCCTGGTTTTCGGACACTGTGTTTCAGATTAGGTTCTTACGGGTTAATTACGGGTTTTGTACAGGTTAATTACGGTTTTTTTACGGGTTCTGAAGTACAAAACCTGGTTTTGGGAACCAAAAGTGGTTCCCAAAACCAGGTTTTGAAGGCTATATGGCCAGAAAACCAGGTTTTCGAGACAGATCCTTCTTTTTTGAGGGTTTTTGATTTACAAGGTATATATATATATACATAGCGAACCCAGCTGGGGGTTTGCTTAACTATCTGGTTGTAAATTCTCCGACCACTACCCTCGGATAGGACTGGGGCTTGAAGTCGTGATATCATAGTGAGATATTAGTGGCAAAGCATACTCTCCACAATGTTCAAAGAAGTTAGCTCGGACAAGTAACTGGGTGGTTCCCAGCCATCACCTAGTTGTTTGTTGGGTTTTTTGTGGTGGTTTCCATTCAATCATTGAGAGTTAGACTTTGAGCAGGGCATCTGGGAACAGGTAAGTCCAACCATTGCTTAGTTGCTCAGTGGAGCCCTTAAGGTTTCCGCTTTAATCTTGACTGCTATTGGGCAACGGATCTTTGGACTTTCACATTTTGGTTGAAATAAAGGGTGTTTTCCGTACTAAAGCCCCAAAAAGTTGAAAAGCTTTTTGCAGGGGGGTCGTTGCAGCAACCAAGATTTTGCTCGACCAACCAAAAAGGGACTGCCCATTGGTTTCCCATGGTCACTGGGCATTTGAGGGCTGGTGGCACCTTTGGATTATTCTAATGCCAGGTGTGAATTCTGTCGCTTCCTTTCACGAGGATACTCCGGGGATGTGAAGCGCTAAAACGGCTCAGATCCCCTTTTGAAACCTCTTTTTCCCTTCACCGGTTGAATTCCCTGGGCTCGTTGTTAATGTTTTGGGTTGACATCAGAGCATGGGGCGGTTCTCCTTTATCCTACCACTTTGGGGGTGACTTTGGCAAAAATATGGGACCAGTGTCCCTTACCTTGCTTTCCCTTGAACATACGTCCTTGTTAACCCTGCTGGTTTCCCTTGAACTTTGCTTTTCCTGCTTTAAACAACTGCCGATGGGATCTTGGCCATGGGAGCTTGTAATCAGTTGTTGGTTGCTGGTTAAAACCTGATTGGGTTGCCATTTGAGTCACAATCAACACCGTAAATGGAGGGGCACAGTGGACGAGGGTACAGTTGGGTAGCCTCCATGAGTACCAATTGAATAGGTGTGTGATGGAAAACATGTTTGCTTTTGTTACACTCGGTGTCATGTTATTATGTTTTGCTTACACAATGGCGTGTTCCATCATGGTGTCTTCAAATCATGTGGCGTGTTCCATGCTTTGCAAGCTTCATCCGCACGGTTCCACGCAAGGATGCGTTTCCTTTAGCCCAATGCAAGGTTCTTCCGTTTGCCCCCAACTCTTTTTGTGACCCACCCACTTGGCCCCACGTTTTTTGCTCGAGCCTCGCCAATTCGGCCGGGGCTGCGCCATGGGGCCTACAACGCCGTGGGCTCGGGTTTTGGTGTTTTGTCCATCCGGGGCAGATACTCGGCTTTTGCCAGGGACCGTCCACCCAGACCTTCCTTCTTCCCAGAGAGTCCCTTTCAACTCAAGCAGAAAGGTGCCGTTGTTTTCTCCATACCCACTGGGGGTTTTCAGGCCGCTTTCATGTCAACCCCAGACGAAGCAGAAGCCCTTGGTCTTGATCGCGACGTGCCTCCTTTCAGTGAGACTCCGGATCACTTTTGTTGCCAAGGACCTTTTAGCACGTTTCCATGCCTCCAAACCACCGATCCACCGGGCTTCTCTGAACAGACATGAGCCATAACCCCCGGCTTCGACTACTACCAGTGGGCTTTCATGTATTTTTTCAAGAGGGGGTTCGGCGCGAAACCGAAAACACAATTTGTTGGGAACGGGCGTTTCAAGCGTGTTGGGCGTGTGACATCGACCTTTGCAGGGTTGACTCCCCATTTCTTTCCCAGGTTCTTATCAGAAGCCAATCGATTTTTTCTGAGAAGGATGCCTGGACAGAATGAACAGGTAGAGAATGGCTATAACTTTTGTCTGTTCCCTTTAAAGGACGCGGGAGATGTCAGATTGCATACCCAAATGAAGCCTCGATCTGATCATGTTCTCGTCGAGCCGGGATTGCATCCAAAGCGCATAGAAAGCCTCACTTCCCGATGGACTTCTCATAGTTTTTGGGTTTGCACCATTTTGGTGGCAGACCAAAAGTTCAAGCTTTGTTTGGCCAATCTGCGAAGCGGAAAGCAGAGCGTGACACATTTTTGTTGCTAGGGTCCCACTCTTTCCCCCACAAGTGGGGATGGAGCAGGCAGAGGATGTCTCAGTTGAGCACCGATGTGGGTATGGCTCAAACTGAAACCACCAGGATATGGACCGCTGGTTTTAGTCTTTTCCATTTGCCAGGGTTCCGTTTTGGGGTTACCCTATTTTCGACCGCACCTCCTGGTGTGTTTCCCCTTCTGGCTTGCTTCCCCACACGTGATGTGGTCCTTGGCTTTCCCGGACCCACTGCACGATTCGATCGGATGTTCACATTGGAGCTCAGCCCGTGCAGCGGTCTCGGCCCGAGCATGGCGAGAAAAACGCCGGAGAGGTGCCGCAAGTAGTAGTTCAGCAACTTGGAGACCCCAGAAAACTCGGCGGCCTCGATGTGGTTTGCCAATATCCTTGCCCTGGTCTTTGTAATTGAATAGCCCTCTTTTGGGCCTTTCGGACACAAGCGGCCCCCCAGGCTTTTCCATCCCCACTGAACGGTGGACCCTTGCTCAGGGAGAGCAACCCAGATATTCAGGGGAAACACCATGTAGCATCTGAAGCTCTTACCGAACGGTTCCCAGCAAAACAACCACACACCAAATGCAAATATGGACACGTTTCGTGTTTTCTCAATGTTCTGCCCGGAAAAGCTACTTGGAGACGGGTTTCCCTTTAAGGTCGACGGCTGCCGTATCTTTCATTAGGCCACCAGTGTGGGACTCTGAAAGAGCATTCTTTATGGTTCACTTCGGAAGATGATGGTGACACTGGGTTCAATTAGGTGCGATGTTCATGTACCATGGCCATCCATGTTTCAACAGTACACCTGAGAAGATAGTCTTTTGCTTGGCAGCTATTTGGATCTTCCAGCTTGAATTTGTATTTTCCTAGGAACCTACACAAATATTTAAGCGTTTTGCGCAGACAGCAACACGAATTGAAGAGCTCCGTGGATTTTAGAGCCCGCCTTGTCCGCGGAATGGAGTCGTTGGACTTGATCCTTGTTGGGCTGGATGGCCAGGAAGTGCGTTTGACTGCGCCCCGGCTGGATGTCGCCTGTTCAGTGGCATTGGCATTTGTGTTTGGAGTCTCCATGACCAATGAAAAGATGGTTGGAGTCATTACCCCAAAATAATGGGGTCATGGACCCATGTTTTGTCGGGTCAGAAGGAGAATTCAGGTACGGATCTTGACCCTTCAACTTGTTGCAAACATGTGTGGCTTCATACTAATCAACAAGAAGCAGGGTTGTGGGATCAAGGGGTTTTACCCCACTTCTGTGATACAAGGGAATCTCCCCCGTTATGTGGTGGCTTAGTCTTTGGGAAGCCCTGATTGTTGTATCACAGAAGTGGATTCCATTTCCCACAGCCCTGACAAGAAGTGAACAACTCTTTGCACGGCGCCTTTGGGGCCACCAAGGTGTTTTTTTTTTTTTCTGTGGGGCAGACATCTCCCTCTTTGGTTGTCTCACTCGAGTTGAAGAGTTGGGGCACTTGTTGGTCGGGCAATCCGCTGAGGCTTCCCCTTTTTGGGGTTGGTGGTTCCAATTTGTTGGTTGGAGCTTGCCTTGTTTTTGTCAGTTTTGCTTCTTGGGTGCGTGTTCTTGTGTTGGTGTTTATTTTTGTTGCTGATTTTGCCCTTTTCATAGGATTTCTCCGTTTTAGTTAAGTTTGTCTTTCTTGGGAAAATGTCGAACTGTTTGGCCTCCCTGATAAAGCTATCTCCGCGGTCTTCCCTTGGCAAATGCTCCCATATTCTATTAATTTGTTGCTTGGGTTTGCCCAGCCTCACTCCTAAACCAAGCGTTCGAGCTCGTCGAAACTCCGGGAAGAATTCCGTTGTGTTTTTTGAGGGTACCCTTTGGTTGCTTGTTCTAAAGGGAACCCAAAGGGGAAAAAAGCGACGGTTTGGAGGTTCCCCTAAAACATAAAGGACACCCCCCAATGAGGCCCAACAACTGGAGACGTGTTTCCACTTGGAGACGGCTTCCCCTTTAGCTTTAGTGTTTAGTGGTTGGTTTTCCATTTAGCCCACTAAAAGTGAGTCACTTTGAGCGGGGGATCTGAAAACGGACAGCTCAGTGAGGGATCCACTTGGCTTCAACTCGGTCGCGTCAGGTGGCCGAGGGGATCTTCGGCCACGAGCTTGTCCGTCGGCTGGCGCGCGAGCTCGAGGATTTTTTGGGTCTCGGTGCCCGGCTGAAGCCCGGACACCCACCTGGAGTCTCCATGACCCTGTAACAATGGTTCAATGACCCCTTTATTTGTGGTAGTCACCTCATTTTTTACGGAAAAATGGGTCAAAGACCTCGTTATTTTTGGTAGTGACCCCATTTTTTAAGGGTCATGGAGACTCCAGGCAGTTCTTCCCTTTCTTCCCTTTTTTTGGAGGTTCACTTGGTGTCCCCATTGGTGTCCCCTTTTGGAGTGACAAAGTCAGGATAGCTCAGTTTGGTATCACAGAAAGGCTCCCCCGAATGTGCAAAATGCGTAGCCAGCAAAGCATGGCCCACCTTCAAAGGGATATCAAAGGAGGGAGTTTCCAACACCATGGCTTGCTGGTGCTCAGAAGGGAATGACCGAGTCCGTTGGGCATGAACCGGTGGAAGGGGATTCCCGAAAAGGAAACCACAAGGCCCCCGCCACTTTTAGGCAATGAACCACTTTTGGGGATTTGTCCCGAAATAAGGACACCACCAGTTGGACGCTTTAACTCGGGGTCATTCCAATTCTCCTTCCCCGCGCCCCATCGCAGAAAAAAATAAAAATAAAAAACAAACAACGCAGAGGAGCTCGGTGGAGCTCGGCTGGCGCGCTTGCTGGTGCACTTTGATGGCGTGGAGTTGGACTATGCGAGAACCTCGGCGTGGGGCAACTTGCGGTTGGAGGGTCTGAGAAGCAACGCTACGACTCATCATTCATGTGTTGGTTATGTCAGCTTGAAAACCAAACTGTCTGAAAGGGAAAATTGGAAGCACGTAAATTTGTCATAGTGTATAGATGTTATGTCATCTAGCAGTATCTGGTATTTTTGGGTTTGGAGTATGAAGCAACATTTGAGCGTGTCATTTTATACCCCAGGTTTGGGCGGGGCTGCGTCTCTTTGCTTGGATCAAAGAAACCAACTCGCAATTCCACTGGAAATCCTCAGCTTTTGCCAGGTTCTAGATTCCCTGTGGCTTATTCCTCTACCGCTATTGGGTTTGATCTTTAGACTTTATCTTTTTGGATTCCCTTCATATTTCCTTTTAACCAGCAAACAGTTAAGCTTTTGCTGGGGGATCTACAGCACCCAAGATTCCTATGATTGGAGACTGTTTTGTTGCTCACGAAGTGAGTTATTCCAGGATGGATCTGCCATTTTATGGGTTTTGAGCTCACTGATCCCGGGGGTCAAGCGAGCGAAAGCGCGAGGACTCGTTGCACCACCACCGTTGCATTGTCAGCAGCCTTCAAGTCATTGCCATGAGTGAATTGACTTCCATTTGCATTGAGCGTTGCTGCTGGCAATCAATTCTTGTCCCGGACACTCCCTCTGACTTCGTTGACTTTGGCAAGCTTGTAGCAATCTATTCGATTGCCGAGCCGACATAATTTGAGTCATTGGTGTGGTGCCTTCACGACTTTCAGCCGACACTGCCAGTGAATGGAGTGACACAAGTTCCATTTTCTTGGCCACCAAGACTGAAATGAAGCCACCATTCAAACTTGCCACGCTGATTTGTGGAGGTTTCGCAGGATGGACCCACGCCATTCACTTTGTGCAAAAGCTGGTCTAGCGGCGGTTGACTATGATTTCCATGTTCCAACTGCTCATGCCAGAGCCCTCTGTGCGTCTTTCCTCAAGTGGAATGCACCTCTGCACTGGTCTGGCCTCAGGACATCACCATTCGCCGCGCATGCCCAGCGCTCACTCATGTGGGAGCACAGGGTGCTGTGCTTGGACCTCGCTTGTGTTGAGCCGGCCCAAACTCAGAGATGCCCGTGACTTGCCGAAATTGAGTGCTGCAGTCAGTTCGCGGACCCCGAGAAGTCAAGATGCAATCAATCCGCCACCCCATGTTGCCGGTGTGGAGCCGATCATGCCGGCTTGATAGTCAGCCACGCCCACCCGCCAACGCAGGCGTCCTGCCGCACTCGGACTTTGGAGGTGCCTACATGCAGCCAAACAATCCCGAGACTGCCGACGACCACTCAAATATGGTCTGGTAACTCAATCCAGCTCCTTGCGAGAATTGACGTGACCGCCTTCCTTGACCGTCTCTCTTTGTGGAACTGAAAAGCTTCTGCCAAAGCTGAGCCCTGCCTGAGTACCTATGACCCCCGCCGGCATTTGCGTCCTGTTGGACAAACCACTGCCGAGCAGTGAATTGAAATTGTCCAGACGCCGCTCGAACCTGTAGCTGATCGCTGGGTTTCTAGATTTGTACTTTGACCCTTACCTCTGAGCCGTTCCTGACCTACTTTGTCTATGAGACCTAATTTGAGAGTACTGTATGACCTACCCCTACAAAGAGCTGCATCCGACACCGGATACACCCTGTAACAACATCGGATGCGCCCTGTAGAGCAAGCGTGCTCCTCATGCATTTTCACCAGACAGGTTAACAGGTCCGCCCTTGCAGCCGCGGGGTGCGGGTCGTCAAGCGTCGAGGTCCTTTACGTGGGGATCTCTTAGTTCAGGCAATATTGTAGAATTTGCAGATAAATAGGCCTGGGCCAACGTTTGGGACCATCTTACATCTCCCTTGGCTAAAATGATGCAGAAATTTTGCTTAGGTGGGGGGTTGAACGTTGCCAGGCTTCTGGTTTATTCTTGGGCGGCATCCTCCCTTTAGAGGGGATGCATTATTATTTTGGCCGCATCAGGTAGATGTATCCGAGCTCGACAATACTCCATTCGAGACCAAATAGCCCTTGACCACCTCTTTGGAAACTGACGCCAAAAAAAGGTACTCGCATACTTATTAGTGGAAACGAGGGCTCGAGTCCAAAGGGGAATGGTTCTTGCAGACTCCTGCACTGCGAATCAAAAATTGAGGAGGATACCAAGGACAACTGCAGCCATCCTCCAAACAGAGGTATCCCAAAAGAGATAAAGCCTGAAAATCGTCGATTTCCTTTTCTTGTGCTTCTCAACTGATACTACAGTAATGTAAGGGCCTCACCGAAAATAGACTGGGGCTGTGCTTAAACCAGTCTAGAGGCTTCGCAAGAGAATCACGACAAATCGTCGATTTCCTTGTCTTTTGCTTCTCAACTGATACTGCAGTAATGTAGGGGCCTCACCGAAAATAGAATGGGGCTGCGCTTGAACCTATTTAGAGGCTTCGCAAGAGAACCATGCGTGTAATCTAGCCCCTTTTTCTACTGGGTTCCCTATGTGGGTGTGGGTCGAAGTTAAATCATCCGGGGACCTACGGTCTGACTCCATGTTTCCAGTCCTGCCACCTTCGGCCCAGGAACTTTGAAGGAGCAGGGCCTGCGCACGTCTTGCGGCATGTACGCCTACAGTCACCCAGCCCAGTGGCGACCGAAGCAGCGTCCAAAACTCCCTTCGTTTCGAGATGGCCTACGAAATGTTCCATAACTGTCATAGTAGAACCAACATGGGTTTCGGCCGCTGCTTGCCTCGTTCTTCAAACCTCCAGTGTGGTTTACTTGCTTGTTCTTAGTGCGGAATGTCGACAGTTTTGGGGTTTCAATGAAGCTACAAGTCTTCCCTCCTTGCAGGGGTATGGCAAGTTGTCCTTTCAAGTTTTCCTTCTGCGGGGTCCCTGAAAAACTGCAAAACTCAGCCGGGTTCTATGTTCCACCGCATGGCCCCTAGAGGTGGTTTGATCTTGGGCGGCTTTGCTCAAAAGGGAACCAACAGGGTTGCCCCAAGCCATTCCTAAATGATAAACCGCTGAAAACGGGCAGAGCGTTGGTGATACGGGTGCTTCGTTTTGGGGTGACGCTTAAAAAGGGTTGGCTTCTTTTTGGTTCCCTTGAAAAAACAACCCCAAAAATGGGTACCCCCCCAACAGACGAGCCGATGTGAGCTGTGTGTCCTTTGGCTTCCCTTTAGCAGGTTCGAATGGGGCCGGGGGACAAATTCAAACCCCCTCCCTTTGAACAACCCCTGGGTGCATTTTGTGAGTGAATGTTTTTGGGGTTAAAAGGTACAACTGGGTCCTTTTTTTGTTTTTGTTTTTTTTTTGGGGGGCGGGATCCTTGAAGAGACTGGGGTCCCTAGATTTGCCTTCATGATGGTTTTAAGATGTTTTAAGCATTTTTTGTTTGGCCCATTTAAGGTGAGTTGCTCTTGGAATGGGTGATGTTTTATGAAGAAATGGGGAACCCTGTGAGATCAGAAAAGCAAGCACGCCCCTTGTTTTCAGGTCGGACCTGCCTGCTACAGGCATGGGAGGTGCTGCAACACGGGAAGCACGCACGTATGGACGCCAAGGATGCCAAGATTCTGGAAGGCGGGGCTATGAGCAGATGAAGGTACCTGGACCCAAAGAAACTACCCTTTCAGCATAGGTGTACTGCAAACCAAAATGTTGGTGGGTGATTTTTCAACTTTTTTAAAGGGTAGTTGGAGGTCCATGTAGACATTTTGGTTCGGTGTTCATTCTCAGCTTTTACTGCACCTAAATTCCTTCCTGCAACCCTTAGGCGTTTTTTTGTTCTCCGGCGCTTGCGAGCCACACCTGGGGTCTCCAAACCAAAGCCATTTTGTACATTATAATGTAGACTCATAAAATGCGAAACAGACTCGAAACTGATTTTTTCCCATCTCAGATGTGGGCCAAGAAGCCGGCTTCGACTTTTCGATGTTACGGGGGTTTGTGACATAGTCCAATAGAAGTCAATTTGTGTTAGCGAGGAATCAAGAATCCACAGGGTTGTTTTGGGAAACCCGTAGGCATCACTCAGCTTACATGGGGCCCCGATGAGATCGCGCTGAAGTCTTTGCCTGAGACACTGCGAAGCCTGACATTCAGCGATGAGTTCAATCACTGCCCGGGACTTAACTTGTTGCCTTTGAGCTTGCCTGTTTGTCTAGGTCCCCCAGCTAGGTGCCCTTCTACCGTTTCTTTTTTGGTTGGGAGGGCTCCCCTACCAAAATGGCCTACAGAAAAAAGTTGGTACCCTTATTCCTCTCTTCTGGAGGACTTGTTGTCTGTTTGCCTTGTTGCTTGCTGGTCAAAAGCTTTTTGCCTTGTGGGACTGATCCTGCATTTGGTGGTATCAGTCCAGGCTTGCGGGACGCGACTTGGCCAAGCCTGCAGCGCCTGACTTTTGGCAGATGTTTTCAGCAAAGCTTACAGGGTGTGGCGCTGCCGTGCGGCTTGCAGAGCTTGACATTTGGCGCGCAGTTCAACTCCAGCCTGCAGGGGGTGACCTTTCCCAGCAGCTTGAAGAGCTTGACTTTTGCACAGGACTTCGACCAGAACTTGCAGGAAGTTGCTTTGCCAAACAGCCTTGAAATCCTGGAATTTGGCATGCGGTTCAACCAAAGCTTTCTGGGAGTGACGCTGCCAGGCAGTCTGAAGAGCCTCACTTTTGGCTTTCATTTCAACCAAATCCTGCCAGCAGCTTGGCCAAGCAGCCTGCAGAGCCTGACTTTAGGCAATGATTTCAATCAAGAACTGGCAGTACCAGACAGCCTGCAGAGGCTGACCTTCGGCGCATTCTCCAACTGCAGCGTGCAGGAAGTGACGTGGCCAAGCGGCCTGCAGAGTTTGACCTTCGGGCAGGGCTTTAACCGAAGCCTGGAGGGCGTGCGTTTGCCGGGCAGCTTACAAAGCTTGACCTTTGGCCACCTAGTTGCCCAGTGGCACTCTCATTTTAGTTGTATTATTGCATTGTTCAGTGCGAAGGGTTGCCCTGGCAAATCAACCAACAGTCAGGTAGCCATTAATTGGTGGTTCGGATTGGTGAACCGCCAAACAACCAATCCAAGCCACATACTAAGGAAGCTGAAACAGAGAAGGAGGCACCAGTTCTTTCTTTATTTTATGGAACTTCAGTGGGCTAAGGCCATTGCTTCAACCAAAGTTTGCATCACCTGACTTTGCCAGCCCTCCAGAGCCTGACGTTCAGAGGCGCTGTGGGTGAGTGGATGATATGTTCCGCTTGAGTATCAAGGAACCGTTTCCTCTAGAATTCAAGGCATCCATTTGCTTAAGAATGTGCTATTTTCCCTTGTAGGGTTTTGAGGGAATCCATCACCAGCTTGTTGTCCAGCCAGAAGAAGAAAAACAATGGGTATGTTTGTTTCAAGGCCTCCCAAAGAAAAACAAATGCAAACACAAATCAACCACCAGCAACAAGGGGTAGCCTCAAAAAAATGGGGCACAGCCATACTTCTTTGTTTGTGTTTCTTTCTGTACAACCCGCATGGCTGTGGGTCAAAACCAATGGTACCATTTTGGTTGGTAGGTGAATTCACCACCCATTTTAGAACCTATTTTAGTGGTTGGATCGAATCGGATGTTCCCTGGGGGTACGATTTGAGTTTTGACCCATGGCCACATGGCTGTGGCTCAAAATTAAGGAGCTGGGGTTACGCAGGTTTCAGTCTTTGGTTCCATTTACCAAGGGGGCCATGTTGGTACCGATTTTTTGAGCCACAGCCACATGTCGTGCACTCGATCCTTCTCTTTCAGGCCTTCTGGCGCAAAGCTTGAGTGGAGTGGCTTGGCCGAGACTACAAAGCCTGAGCTTCGGGCAAAGCAACTTCCCGTGCCTGGAGGCCGGGACCCGGCCATTGGAAGGAAAGAGCACACCAGCCCCTGGGAACAACGATTTGCTTAATACGTGTTATTTTGCCTTGCTGGTTTTAAAGCGAAGTTGTCTCTGCTGGAAATATGTGTTGTTTCTTCCAGTGGGCTTAAGCAAATGGAAGGTAAATGAAGTCGAGGGGATCTTAACTGCTATTGGGTTGGATTTTTAGACTTCAACTTTTTGGTTGAAATGAAGGGGTTTGCCACTAAACACACCAACAGTTAAACTTTTCGCAGAGGGGTCAACAGCAACTAAGGGATGAGAACCCCACTTCGGTATCACGGATTTCGCATTTTTCACTTGAGGGCCCGGTGTTGAACCAGCTTGGCAAGTGCGCAACCTGCGGGCAAAAGAAGCCCAGCTCTGCCCGGACACCTGGGAAAACTACGCTTTCCTCGCCGGGAACGGTTTCCGATCACAATATGTCGACCCCGGACAAATAAACCCAGCCTTCCCAGTAACTTGGGGGGTGTTTTTTCTTCAAACATGATGAATCGCCACTAGAAGGGGACACCCCTCTATGGATCAACCAGGGGTTCAAAAATCTGGGGTTGACATTAAACCGTCAAAGGGCGCTGGTTCTCCATGGAAATCAGGGCTGATGATATGCTTCCCTCCCCTTGGGGGAAACCAAGCCAAGGGTCCAGGTTCTGATTGACCCCCCATTGATCAACAGAACCCCCCTGCGGTAGACTTAGGATACATTTTACATTTTACCTCTGACTCAAAAGAAAGCAAACAATATAATATACATTCTATAACTGGTCCCCACTTTAATCATGCCCCCCGACCAAAGAGGAGGCGGCTCGACCCGTCCCAGGGCGTGAAGTTGCCAGACCTGCAAAGCTTGCAGTACGGGCATTGCTTTGGCAAAAGTTTGCTTCAAGTTCCTTTGCCCGACAGTCTCAAGACGCTCCTGGCATGGCGCTTTTTTTGTTTGTTTAAGTTCCAGGTTTGGCGTGTTTGCCAGTTTCGGGGGGGATGGCAGGTGTGCAATCAACAAAAATAAAGCACGCCAAGAAAGTGTACATAAAGCAGACAGATCCAAAAGACCCAAGGTCTGCAGAGCTTGTATCTTGACTTCGAAGTGGAAGGCTTGGAGCACGTGACTTGGCCAACGAGCTTGCAGAGTCTGACCTTTGGCTTGGAGCAGGACCAAAGCTTGCAGGGTGTTCACTTGCCAGACAGCCGTCCGGCTGCATTCCAGTCGTTTTCGCCTTCCTTTCGCTGAGTGGATGTTTCTTGGGAAAATAATCTTGGCTGCTATTGGATTGGATCTTTAGACTTTAACTCTTTGGGAAATAAAGGTGTTTTCCACTAAACCCCCAAAAAAGTGAAACTTTTTGCAGGGGGGTCAACAGCAACCAAGCAATCCGCTTGCCATCATGAGATGTGTGGTGCTTGGGGATCAATTCATCCGTTCCACCAACTCGCACCCCAGGTCTTGGGGTGTCCTTGCAAGCCGGGCAATGCAAAAGCCATGTTCCATGTGGGGGTTGATCAAAAGGTCCTTGCAAGGAGTTATGTATTCGGTGACCATTCGTCTTGGCTTAAATCCCTCCGCGAAAGATCGGCGATGGAGTTCGCGAAAGAAACCTTTTTTTTTTTCCGCGAAAGTTCCGCGTTGGATTTTTGGAGGCATGCCTGTGCACTTACATATTTGTAGACCCCGCTCCCTTGTAGAGGGAGATACGCAGCACCTACACTTGCATTATTGATTCCCTGCCTGTGTTGGGAATGGCGCAAATCAATAACGTTGGCTGGGCTATTTTGGAGCAAGTTTCGCGAAAGATCCGCGAAAGACCGGCGAAAGGCCAGGGAGCTTGTTGCAAGGTTCCGCACATCGCCGGCAAGCGCAAGTGGCAAGGGCGAATGACGGTGACTGCTTGCACTTAAGACTACGTACTGCACGCAGGTGAGCTGCCGCTATCCTGTGTGCAAGCATAACTGCAGCAGCCACAATGGCTCCAGAGCGCACGCTGCAAACAAAGGGCAAACAAAAGGGCTTGGCGATGGAGTCGCGAAAGATTCGCGAAAGAAACTTTTTTTCTCGCGAAGATGGCGTTTTTCGGATGCAGGAATATTGATCAACTGCCATGTCTTGTTTTGGTTTGAGAAGTGTCCCTGTTGAACAGGCCCTGGTTCCTTTTTTTGAGCTTCCCAATAAACGGCGGCTCCAAGAGAAATGAATGAGTTCTATTGGACGAAATGAGGGATCTTGGTGGCTCCCAGCCATCCGGTTCCTTAGCTTTAGCGGTAGTTTCCGAATTTACCCCCACTAAAAGTGAGCCAAACTTTGAGCGGGGGATCTGAAAACGGACAAGCAGCCCCGTTAAATCCACCAACGGCTTCGGGGGGAAGGTCCAACCGTTGAAGTCAAAGGCCCGGGGTCAAACTGGTGGCAGTTTCTCCCAAGGAGTTGGTGGCGCTTTCAAGATTGGGGAATTTCTTCAACTTGGCGGATTTCCTGAACTGTCCCTTTGAACCCCACAAAAAAGTACGTCTCCTGAAAACAAGACACACCCAAGCCAACCAACAAAATGTTTGCTTTGTTTATCCCACGCGGCGCTGCATTTTGTGTTTCGTTTTCTTTGTCGAGAATGGGGTTTCCAATTGAATTCAAAAGCAGCCTCCAGTGCCTGGACTGGTACGGTTCTCAAGGAACCCGTTCTTTGGTCTTCAAAAGTGGACAGGCTACCAACGCTCCAAGCCGAGGTCTTCAAAGCCTGACGCTGAGAGGCGGTTTCAATACATCCCTGCAAGGAGTCACTTTGCCAGGTGCGGTTTTGTGCAGCAAACCCGTGGCCCCCATTTGAATGTATGAAAGGAGGTTGTTTGGAACAGGCCCCTCAAAATAAACATATTGAGGGGGAGTCTCAAAATCATGTTAGGCCCCAATGCCCAGAACCCACTCTCATTCGCATCTTTTCTGGAAGTGTCTTACTTTCTTGAACCCGCTTAAACCAAACCGACTGAAACAAGCTGTCCAAAGCCGACCTTCTGACCTTTTTCGGTTTTCCAATATTGGTCCATGCTGTTCAAGGTCCTAAAAGGTCAACCTTTTATTTCAAGCGAGAAGACTGGGCCCTGTCAGGCGCTCTACAGGCACTGACTCTCCCCCATCAGTTCAACCAAAGCCTAGAGGGGTTGACTTGGCCAAGCACACTGCGACTTGGCCGGGCCCACTTGAGCTAAGCCGCTGTTTCTCCCCAAGCCCCAAGCGAAGAAAGGTGGATGTCAGTTCGCCCAGGAGCAGCCTGGCTTTTGGCGGTCGCTTCAACCAGAGCATGGAGGCAGTAACTTTGCCCTTCGGGTTGCAGTGCCTGACGTTTGGCATGGACTTTAACCAGCGCTTCTTGACTACTATTGGGTTGGATCTTTAGACTTTAACTTTTTAGGAAATAATGGTGTTTTCCATTCAACCCCAAAAAAGTTAACTTTTTGCAGGGGGGTCAACAGCAACCAAGGCTTGGGGACATTGCCAGACAGCCTCCGCAGCTTGACCTTTGGCAACGACTTCGACAGAAGTTTGGACGTGCCTTTACCACGCAGCCTGCAGACCCTGCGATTTGGCTACGGCTTCAACCAAAGCTTACATGGAGTGGCTTTGCCAGCCAATCTCGAAAGCCTGATTTTTGGAGAATGCTTCAATCAAAGCCTCCAAGGAGTCGTTTTGCCACGCACGTTGCAGATCCTGACCTTTGGCTTTTACTTCGATCACAGTTTGCAGGGTGTCACTTTGCCCAGCAACTTGCAGGTCCTCACTCTGGGCCAGTCCTACAATCAAAGCTTGTGGAACCTTGAATCCGTCAGCACGCTCCGCGCAATACATGGCGGAGGGGTCAGTGTGTCCTGCGATTGACCTGCGCGCTCGCTGCGGCAGTACGCACAGACCCGGCCTCGTGAAAGTATGTGTTGCGCGGCTCAACATTTAAGAGCCAGGCGGCAGCGTGTTTTCTTGTTGATTTACCAGGGTTGTGTTTGGTCTTTCTCCGTGTGAGTCGGAACAAGAAGACCCAAACCGGGCCAAACTTTGGCCCTAACTTTGGCTCATTTGGGTCAGGCTGGACCTTTGCGACGCGCTCAAGAAAAGTGACGACAAAACAATGTCGAGGTAGAAACACAGCCACGCAGCCCAGAACACAAAGGCCAAAGCAATTGGTCCGGCGGCCCTGAGGTAAGGTTCCACGAGGGTTCCACGAAGTTCTGCGAGTGATGATGGGTGGTTGGATTGTTGGTTTGCTCCCCTCCACAGGGGCGAAATCCCTTTGCAAGCGCAAAAAGAGCACTGCGTACTTTTGGGGATATCGAGATTTCTTCATTTTTGTTGGAGGGGGTAGCCCCCTTTACCATCAGCTACCAGCCAAAGGGTGCCTTTTCTCAACGCTTCTGTAAGGGGTTTTCCCTTGACAATTGCTAGCAACCTTGTCACAGGACGTGACATTGCTTCCCCACAGTGCATCACACCATGTCACACCTGAGCTTCTAAGGTTGCGATTGCTCAGCGGATTGGTTGAGCCAAGTTTGGTGCTGATCGCGTATCGCGTGACTCCATGGGCCAACAGGGCCATTCTGACGCGCTCACGCGTATGTGTGAAAAAAGGGAGCGCCGAAATCGTGCCTTTCTACCGTTTAAGCCACCCCCCGTCAGAAAGTGCACCCTGCACAACACACACACACCCACCCACCCACCCACCCACCCACACACACACACACACATACATGTCAGCGCGTGTGCGTGGGAGCGTGCGTGCGTGCGTGTGTGTGTGTGTGCGTGTGCTTGTGCGTGTGCATGTCCGCGTGCGCGTGCGGGCGTGCGGGCGGGCGTGCGTGTTTGTGTGTTTGTGCTCGTTGTGTGACGTTCAAGGGATGTTTGGTCAGCACCGATAGAGTACAAGGCAGGATTTCCAGCGCCTATACTTCCCGTTAAACATCACAAGAAGAAACTCACAAGCTGACCAAGCTGTTTCTCTCAAAGACCTTGTAACCAACTCCGTGAAGATTGTCCAAGCACCAACTTCTCCGACATGGTGAACCAAGCCTGTGCCTCCCGTTTTACTTTTCCTTTCGGTGAGCCTCGTCCGTGCAACACGGTCAGCTGTCCCATTTTGCCTCTCTGTGACCAACCTGCGCCTCTCTGTGACCAACCCCCCCGAGGCTTCTGCTTCTACTATCAGGACCATGCTGGGCCTTCGAGGCCGACAAATCAGGGCTCGGACTGAATGGTCACCTTGGGGCACCTTGTGACAATACATTTTGGTTGTGAAGAAGTGGTGTATTGTCTTGGTTATTGGACTTTTGCAGCGTGGGGGTAAACCACAACTTGTTGAGGTTACCTTGGTTGCCAAGTCACATCCACTCAGGAAGCGTGAGGCTGGGGGACAGTCCAAACCACACTGTGGATGGACAACATCCAACTTTCACCAGTTGGGATGGATGGACGCCCTATGAACACTGGGTGATACCACCAAATGGTGAGGATTTTGTCCAGCCACAGTAACTCAGTAGGTGCAGATGTCCTCCCTTTGGATTCTCTACATGGTGTTGGGTCCCTTTCTTGTACATGGTTTTGGGTCCCCTCGGATTAGACCCGGTTTTAAATGGTAAACAGACCTGTTGGGCTTGGTCGGGAGCTAGGGTCTTCTCCATGTTTCTTGCATGCAGCGTTCAAGATTCTAGCAATCATATTTTCTGTCTACCCCAATTCGCCTTTTGGGGGGGGGGGGTAGGCAACTGAGCGAAAGACATATAGAACCCCCACCCAGAAGGCGCGCTTGCTCAGAAGCAATCCCAGCTAATCCCCGCTATATCCGCTTTCCGGGGCTGCTCCCAGTCCCAGCGCCAAAAAGTGATCACCTGGTATTTCCTTGGTGGCTCCTAGCCGTCCGGTTCCTTAGCTTTTTAGCCTTTTAGTGATTTAGTGGTAGTGTCCATCAAACTCACTACAAATTTGTCACTTTCAACGGGGGATCTGAAAACGGGCAGCCCAGTTTCGGGGTGAAACAATTCCCAACTGAGTACATGAAGTCTCCATGACTCTTCAAAAATGGGTTAATGACCCCCTTTTTGAAGGGTCATGGAGACTCCAGGTAGGGATCTCTCGCTCAGGTGAGCCACAGCTTTAGTCGCAGGCCCGCGGAGCTGTGGGTCTCTTCACTTGGTGCAGCGTTTTCAGTGTTTCTTTTTTGTTTTGGCCAAGAATCTGGGTGAACTATAACGACCTCACACGATGGTGGTTTATGTGGGGAACGGCCCCCAACCACCTTATTTCAGGTTGGTGAAATATTATGATTCACCCAGAAGAATCGATTTTTGCCCCCTGACTCGGTTGTCCTTCCCCCGCCCCCCCGCCGTTCCTTGCAAATCAAGTACTTGGCTCATATCCCCGGGTCCGGGCAATCCAAGCAAGTCCAACAGAATGACCCTTCGGTCCTTTTCGGGGTCCGGTGATAAACAAAAGCATGCGGTTTGGAGATGACGTTAAACTGGAGGACTCCTCTCACATGGATCGAGCCAGAAACGGCCAAGGGACACCAGAAAGTCTTTGAAAGGAACCAAAAGGAAACCATCCGTATGTGAGGTTCGTGCTTTGTTGCTTGTTTTTGTTGGAAGACTTTAAATCTTCCATGTTTTATTCAGAAAGGGGTGACTGCAGCAGGCATGTTTTAAGTGCTTGGGCCCGTGTGCAAAAGTGATCAGCTCATGGCGGGCTTGGCGTATTTGAGCGACCCAGTCAGCCTGTCAAAAGGGCCGTGAGGCAAGCAGTTGGCATTGCCCAATTTCTGAGACCAGAGGCAGACAATGTATAGGTAAGTGTTTTTTGTCAAACAAATGGCTTCGGTGTGGCTCAAAATGACACTGGGGGGGCAAACTGCAGGATTTGGTCCATGTTTCCACTTACCAGGGTTCCATTTTGGGTACCGGTTTTTTGAGCCACAGCCAAATGGCTTCGGTGTGCCGCAAAAAATGAAGGGTTCCAACTCCAGTTGGGTACAGTATCAGACCTGGCCACGGTGTGTTGTCAGAGATCTTGTCCAAACGAGCGCAAGCGAATCGACCGATCGAAGTCACTCTTTTGATGTGGCAACCATTTTGCGTGGCCCCAAAAGGTGACCGGCCGTTCTTTCTGGGTCTGAACTGCGACACCATCCCAGAGGTACCTCCAGCCGCCGCGCAAGCCCCATGTTCTTGTTTCCCACGTTCGATGCCCCAAGTTGTCCAAAACTTGCGGGGTTGCGTAGAGAAGAACAAGACATGGGTGTGTCTTTTTGTTGGCTGGTACCCCTGTTTTGGGCTTGTCAAAGTAAACCGAAAGGAACGCCAACCAGCCATCTTGGGTCTTCCTACACGAAGACAGACCAAAAAACACGGCTCCATATCAGGTTCTCGCAGGTCGCCTGGTCAAGACCAAAGGCCAGAAGTCGGTTTGGAAGTCGGCCAGATTTCTAGGGGTTGATTCCAATCATTCTTTTCAACCATCGTTCTTTCACAACCAGCTGTTTCCCATGGGGTTCTGATGGTTTCTGGAAAGAATGGGGAAGTGTCCCCTAGAAGATTTGGGCGTGTCTTTGTTTTAGGGACCGGCGCAAACCGGAGCTCCAACTTTTGGGGTCTTGCGGATACTTTTTGAGTTCCGGAACTCGGACTTTACACCTTTTGGGGTTTGGATTTGGGTGTGGTTACACAGGCTTTAGTCCACCTTTCCATTTACCATATTTACCAGGGTTCCATTTTGGACCCCTATATTTGAGCCACACCCATTTTAACCATTTGTGTGCCAAATACAAAGTTTGGAACTTTTTGAGGCCGATCCGCTCAGGTCATTAACCGCAAACACATCTCAAACACAGAGAAGCTTCTATCTCGAGCACACACAAAGGTGTGCATGCCACACATTGAACCGCCAGTCAATCAGATTCAACCAGCGGAACCTGTGTGGCCTACCCAACCTTGTAACCATGTGAACAATCATAACCTGGGTGATTGTGTACCAGCACGCATACCCAACCTGAAATCTCAAAAAGCTCACCCTCACTTCCTGGACTTTCTACTCGTTGGGTCTGGACCAACTAGTGTAACATGTTCAGACTTGTGTTGGCCCACCCCGTTCGGAAGTGAGGATTGGGTTGTTGTCATTCTTCCTTTTGTCTTCATCCAGTTGACCAGCATTGAAGGGCACCGCACAAAAAAGAGAAGAGAAAACACGAACCACGATCGCCGACTGTCATCAGCCAATTGGTTGCTTGAGTGTTGAACCTACTGAGGGAGCCATGGACAGGCATCTGGGCCACCGATGCCACTCACCAAAAGTGAAACTGTGAGCGGAAGGCCTGATTTGACCATAGGGTTTTGGAGGGTCCCCAGAAAAAGGCCGCCCATGCGGACGTGCCCTGGTCGATTTGGGGCAAACCAGGAGCACCCCAACCATATTCTTGAGGTCCCGTAAATAAGCGACGTTCACCCGCTTCTGTCCGGGAGTTTCTCAACCGGACGCGATTTTCTCAGGCCATCAAGCTGCGACCCTCTAGCCTCCTGCAGGCGGGCCTTTTTTTTCCCGACATCATGCCGATGGATTGGGCAAATGGGTGTGGCGCAAAAAATCAATCAGCCGGGGTTACACAAATTTTGATCTTCGTTCCGGGCCAAACAATTGGTACCACTTTTGGGAGCTACAGCATGGGGAAAAAGGGGGTCGTCTAGACGTCTAGACCCCCCAATTCGTTGGCGTCCTTTCGCAAGCCCGTAAAAACCACTCCAAAAGCGGGGCGGGCCCCCCAAAAGTTTTCAGGGGCCGGGGCGGGCCCCCTAAAGGTTTTCAGGGCCCATTTACCAGCAAGCTTTGAGAGAGAACGTGGCCATGGTTTTCATTTAGCTTTGGTTTGCATGGTGATTCTTCTCCAGATGCGGGCTAAATGCATATGAACTGGTTCCCCTGAAATGAACGCGCCCCTGGTTCTTGTAGAGGGCAAATGGGAAGCCCCTCCAGAATACCGCCAAACCACCAATCCAAAGCACCAATGAGAGGGAAGCTGATATGAGCAAGTGACAAAGTTGGTTGTAGTCTACTGTTGCTGCGGGACCTGGCATGGCGAGCGAGGCAGAACCCAAGTTATGAGTCTTGAGGTCGCCTTGGGAAGTCATGGATGGTTAGGGGCACCGGTGAAGTCGTTGGGTTCCGTCTTCCGGGGATGCACCCATGAATTCGAACTCATGTTGAATCCT